GATTTTAACTAAAAGTATAAGTTTACTCGGATTATTTAATATATATGTATATATATATTGTAGTTAACAAATCTAGATCCAGGCGTGGTTGCATTGAGCATTACATCCGCCGCCGCCGCCGCCGCGGGTTCAAGGAGAGTGAGCGCGAGTTACGACGCGCTCAATCTGAATCTCACGCTAGGTCGCCGTGGGCCGCGCGTCCTATCCCGGATTTAGGTCACTCACACGCGGGACAGACTCAATATATTTTATTTTATATGTTGTATATTATGTACACACTTATCCATGTATATAAGTCATACATATTACGTCAGAGTAACGAATACTTAAGGTTCTCACAATTGGTGCTTACACAAAGCATTTACTTACTTTGCTTACTATACGATAAGTACGCTCCAGTACTGGCTCAGACGGAAGCATTACGCATTTTCTCAAACTTTCGTTTCAATTTTTTCATCCTTCAACAAATTCACTTTTTACTCATATCTTTCATCTTTATTCACTGCAATGTTTTATTTATAACATTGTCGTTTAGTTGTTTAAATAATGAGCAATGACACTCACTTTAGTTTTTTAAGGGCTGGCTGGATACTTGCATTGCCAGTCATGATTACTGAGGTTTTTTGTTTCAATTATCCACTGGTAAAAGTTTGTGTTACAATCCAGAAAACTAGAAAATTGAGAATATGAGTTTTGGAAATAATAATTTTATTTTTTAGAGAAATTTTTTATACGGTAAAAAATTTTACGTCTGCGTCAAAAAACTTTGGGTTAAATATTTAACACTTTTATGTGAAAATTTAATATTTATTTTGTTTAATCAATACAAAAAAGTGTTAAATATTTAACATTAAAATTTTTTACTGTGTATAAATCAAGGATTTTTTAATCAAACTTTCTTATATCAAAAATGAAAACTTTGAAAAAAATTTGTTAATTTTATTTTAATAAATAATTGTACTAATTTTGATTTTATTTTATGACACTAAAGTTAGCAGACGTCTAAAAATTTTTTAATTTTTTTTATTAATTAAATTACAACTAAAAAGATATTATAAAAAATTGCACTTATAGTTTTTCAAGTTTTTTACAAGTGACATTTTTTTAAAATTTTTTTTCTACCAATTTTTTTAATAAAAAAAAATTTTTTTAATTTTCAGATGTCGGCTAACTTAATTTTCATTTTATTTTATAATTTTTTTTTGTAATGCATTTATGGTCAATTATTAATTTTTATTTCGCTGAAACTTTTCGAAATACGGTGAAATTTTTAGCTACGATAATATAAATGTACTGATTTTATTTTTATTTTACTAAACAACAAATTTTTCTCTGCAACTAATATTACACATTAGTAAAAAAAATTTTTTTTTATAAAATCTTTTTAATTTGCATCTTAAATAATAATATCAATTAATTTATTGTAAAATAATAAAATTAATTACTGTCAAAAATAAATAAAAATTTCTAGATAAAAATCTTGAGTGTGTAATATTTAATTTACTAACTACAAAGTGATTCATTAATATAAATAAGTGATCTATTAGAAATGATAATTTCTCTACATAAATTTATTAATTTAAAGGTGCGGAGGTAAATTATTATCAATACAAATAACCAACTTTATTTAGAGTCACGACGTAAATGGCTGAAAATTATAACTTGTAACTTTCGGAAACCATACATGGAAAAATGATTACTAATAAGTAAAATTACTATGACCAAATAATATTGTTTCAAATAGTGATATTTAAATGCGGTAATTTAGAGTTTATTGAACTTTTCCGGTTATATTTACAAAAAACACGATTTTTCATAAAAAAAAAAGTCTTTTTTTTTAGTTACAATTACTTTTGGAAATTTAGGATAAAATATTGTGAGTCTTAAAAAAATAAATTTAAATTTTTCGGACTTAAATATTCTTATTAAACAAAATGATTAAACAATATTACAAATTATTTCATTTTGAATACTTTCTAATCCTTAAAATCATTTTAAATACGATTGTTTATAGGCGTTTAACATGTGAAATTATTTTTACTCATTTTGTTTGACAAAACTAAGAACATAATCTTAAAATAAATTTATTAGAATGTTAGAAAATTTAAATAGACCTTGAATTATTATTGTATTGTTAAAAATCAATAGATTTTCGCAGAAAATTAATTTTCATAACAAATTCGAGAACTAAATTTAAAAAATCTGCTCTCAGATTTATCTTTTTGGCGTCTTAAAATAGTCTTGGTTAGTGTCACGTTTGTGACGTTGCGGAAGGTTTGAAAGCCTCGTTGTGATAAACACGATTTCCCCGTGCTCAAGCTCGCCGTGTCCAGGGTCGGGATGGGGATCACGCAACACAGATAAACTTACATCTAACTAATATTAGCCAAATAATAACACAGATTCCAACTATAAGGTTAATTTATTCACCAAATCTCATAAAAATAATAATAAACTCAAATTCGTTATTGCAAACCAAGATACAATACAACTATACAATATTCAATACTCCATACATTACAAACCATAGACATACGTATTATCTTAACTTTTACCCCAAAATCTAATATATACATTTACAATTACTCTCGACAAACCGTAACCTACTTGCAGCCTACTGGGGACTTCGCGTCGCGTCCGCGGTCCTATCTAATCTCTCCCCAGTTCCCTCTATCAACCAAGAGAGGCTTGGTTGTCCAAATATAGAGATACCGGGATTGTGTCAGGTACCCCGACGCCCAGCCGTATCTCCCCCTAGGTGTTCCGATAAGAAGTACCTCCTTATCCAGGTGTCCACAACCTCCTAGCTATTACCCACAATATTCGTTACGAGAACGACAGGTCGTGTACCACAACCTCACCTCTTCCCGTGCAATAGAGGCTATTCGGTGACTCGAGTACCTAAAGTCAACCTGGCGACAAAGCGATCCACTGTGTGAGCAGGATTATTACAGAACGTACATACTAAGTATATAACAATTCCAACTGCTCTCGGCACAGCACTTGTAACTTCTCCGCAGAGTGTACCACTCGCTCGGAAGCCCAAGCTGATCTGACGAAAAATGATCAGAAAATTGCTTTTAACACTTCTGGAGCGATAGTCTCCGCGCGAACAGTCTGAGCGACACCGCGCTGCCTCACGGCGCTCGCGAGAACTATTCTCCTGGGCTTCCCGGCTGCTTCCCCTACTCTTGGCTTGTCTCCGGCGCTCTCGCCGTCTCTCTCTCTCTCTTCCCTTTCTTTTCTCGAGTAGGCTGCGCGTGGCTGTCTTTTCTCTCGCACTCAAATAAAATACTCGAGTATTTTATTTTTATTTTGCTCTTATTAATTAATAAATAATACATTAATTATTAAATTTATATAAAATATAGGGGCGCGTCACACGTTTGAGATCTTAAACAAACGACATTTTTAAGACACTTTTAAGATGATTTTTTTTTTACACGGGTAGTTCGAATCAAATCCATTGAAATCTAAATAAGTTTATTTCCAGTTAATATTTCTATTTAAATCCAAAAACGTCTCATGTAAATTTTAACAATTAATATTTACATCAACGTTTATTGATGACTTAAGATTGCAATTAATAATTATAAAAATAAAAATTCACCACTAAAAAATTTCCATAAAATAATATCAAAATTTTTTTTCCAGGTTTATCTAACGATAACCCTAGTCTATGCACGCCGAGTCCAATTGCGTCCTCAAGCAGCAGTACCGCAGATCTACTACGAAGATGAAGACGCGCGAGTATCCGCCGCTGAAGAAGTAGACATAGAAGACGGCGAGGGTTACCTATCCCAGCGCCAACAACAAGAATACCAACCACGAACTCGAGCGCTTCCATCCCCGCGCTCTAAAGACATATCAAGCCCTTCAAAGCTTCCGCCAGTCCAAACAATCCGTAATTACAACAAAGTAAACGACGACGGGTCATTCACCTTCGGATATGAAGCCGCTGACGGTTCCTTCAAGGAAGAAACCCGTGGAACCGACTGTGTAGTCCGCGGAAAGTACGGTTACATCGACCCAGACGGCAACCGTCGTGAATTCGAGTACGTCTCTGGAAATCCTTGTGACCCCAACGCTCCAAAGGAAGAAGATGATGAATTACCCAGCAAGCAGGAGCCAGATGAAGTTGGTGGCCCAGCAAACTATCCGCTGATCCGTCCTAGACCCGTTCCTCAAAACTACCCCCGAAAGTCCACAGCTCGACCACCCACGACCATTTTCCAAAGCGAGCTGAACCTGGAAGACGAGGAAGCCAGTCAAGAATTGAAAGCTAACGACGAGCCCGCAATTCGACCAACTTACCGTCCGAAGCCTCGTCCGAATTACCTCCAGGTTTCTCAAGTCCAGGGCGAGAGTCTCTCTTACGAGAGTCCAAATGCCGTCACCCAGTCTGCTAGCACCACTGCCAGTCCTGTCTATAGAGTAACCTCCCCAGCACCTCGGTACCACAGTTTGGCAAGTCCCACAACTTCACGCCACGTGCCCACACCTTCTTACCAGGCCCTGGAGTCAACGTCACCTCGTCCACAATCGACAGTCGCCATCACCCCAAGGCCCCACGTCTTGCAAATCGCTTCTCAATACGTCTCGCCCACCAGCACCGAAAGGCCCGGAGTCGTCTACGCCAGACAAAGGAGCACCACTGCCAATTCTTTGATACCTTCACCGTCTTCCAATGACGTGCACCTGAACTTCGCTGCAGAACTGGAGCGATACGTCAAAACTGTCCCGGTGACGAACCGACCTGTTACCAAAGTGTCCTCTGTCAAGGCAGAGCCAATTTACCAATCAGAGCTGGTTTACGATCCCAGCAGTGGACAGTACAACACACAATTGTACCAAAGCTTGCCGCAAAATCTGGGAGACTATAGGGTCAATCACAAGTTGCAGCCGTATGTGGCTCAGCAGGAAGTTCAGGCTCATGCCGTTCTTCAACAGCAGCAGAGACACCAACAGTTACAACAGCAGAGACAGCAGTACCAGGCCCAACAGGCTCAACAGGCTCCTCGACCCACTCCCAGATCTCAACCTCAGGAGACTATCTATCGCCAGCAGCAAACTGATCAATTGCTACAGTCTCAGCAGCTTTTTGCTCAGCAGCAACAACGCCAGCAGCAGCAACAGCAGCCGGAGCCCAAGTATCAGTATCTTGCTTCTCAGAGAGATCCTAATTCTTATTATTATGCTGTTGCTCCGTCACAGAATCAGAGAGATGCTCCGCTTTCGTTGAGCCAGATTGATCAGTTCTTGCGTGGTAGCACTGCTGGGTTTCAGTTAGCTTAAGAAAGAAAATTGTCCTAGAGAGGTTTAAGAGTGAGAGTATGGGCCGTTGAAAGAGTCATGTGGGGCAAGTGTGCGCATATAAATTGGTGTCAAAATTAAACAAGCTGAGTATTTATTTAGGTAATAAATTGAGAAATGAAATCTTAAAGTTTGAAGAAAGGGAGTAATCTGGATGATTAAAATTGCGCACACTTACCCTGTACTAAGGGTAGTGCGCGCACTCGTGGGGATAAATTTGCGCAACTAAGGGAACTAAGTGGATTTTTAATGCCCTAAGCAGACTGATTTTAATAATACTTAGATAGCTATTGAGACGTAACTTAACTTGAAATGTTATGCTAAATAAAAAGCTCAAGTATATTATTAACAGAAAACAAAATTAATTTACTTTAGTTACTATCCTTAGTACAGTGTGACAATCTTTGCCTTGACAGTAAATTTTACCTTTACGCCACAGGATTCTTAATATTTTACTTTTTAAGTAAACGAATGATACCATATGGGTTTTTCTTGCATAAGCTAATTTTCCACCAACAAACCTTTAATTTGCCTACACATATCACAAACTTCCCCCTCCTCATTGATAAATAAAGAGGTTGCGCACACTTACCCGCTGCGCACAGTTACTCCACGTAACTCTATGCATAATTAGGGTTCTTTTATCCAATTTATGATAATTTAAACAGCGGCTATTATATATTATGTATTATGTTTGATGTGTGGATATACACTTTTAATATTATTATTTTCATGATAATAGATTTCGATTTGTGAGGAGCTTTGGATCAAAAGGTTATTTTTGCATTTACAGAAGTACTGTGTGAAAAAATTGTTAGAATTTGGAAACTAATGTTAAAAAATTGAAGATTTTGAAAAATTAGAGTTTATATTGTTATGATTGAAAGCTTCTCGAGTAATTTGTAAATTTTTAATTATTTTAATTCCGTTAAATCGCGATGGCACATTATGAATATATCGTTGATACTGTTTAATACTCAATTGCAAGTCGCAGTTGCCAAAATAATGTTTTTTTTTTTTCTTAGGATTAAGATTTCTATAATGTTAATGGATCAGTTAATCGTTTTATCGTTGTTCCTATTTGTGTTGAATTTAAAATAAATATTTCGTTTGTTTTTTATACAAGATATTGGATATATTTTAGTAAATTACCTGCCCAAACGATGCCATATACTTAAAAGTTTCTAAATACAAGGCCGTAAAAATAGGAAAATGATGGAATCGAAAATATTAATAAAGATAACGATCAAATATACAGTATTTTTATTATTAATATTTTTAGTTTTGAAAATCTAAATTATAAGGGTAATAACTGAGACATTAATCTTATAACTCTGATAAAAGAATATAAATTGTGATTGCGTCTACTTGTCCGTCCATATATGTAGCATAATTTTATCATTTTAATATTCATCCATCGCATTACTAATGTCACAAAAGCGTTAATTGGTCAAATTTTTATTTTTTTGTTTAAATTTTAGTGAAAATTAATTTAGCAGATATTTGATAATTTTAAGAATTTTTTTAACAAATAAATTATGGAAAAAAAAATTATAAAAAAAAATTGACGTGTAGAAATTTTAAAAAATTAAAAATGCAATTTTTCAAAAATAATTTTTTTTAACAAATTCATTTGTTAAAAAAAAAAAAACTAAAAAATAATCAAGTGACTGCTAACTTTAATGTTAATAAATTTTATTGTTTAATTATTTTTAGTGTAAGAAAGTCGAAATTTTTGAACAATTTTACAGAAAGAAGCAATTTTTGCCCGTATTTTTGTTGTCAAAAATTTTTAACTTTTTTTAGAAGTTCAATTTTCGAATTAATCCAATTTTTTTTAGTCCTTAATAAAAATATTTGTATAAAATTTAGTAAAAAAATATAAAAAATATTAATTTATAATTTTCAATCTTACTACAAAATTATCATACATTTTTTTTTTTGTAAATTTTCAGTAAAATTTTAATGTAAAAATATTAAAAATTAAAATTTTTTAACTATTTTTTTATTTTTTTAGCACGGAAAAAATTTATGATTTAAAAATTCTAATATTAATAAAAGAAATTAATTGTTTCAATATTTTTTTTTATTTATTCTAAATTAAAATATTATAAAAAGTAAAAAATTTTCTATTTACTTTTTTTAGTATTTTTTAAATCAAAACATCAAAGTACACAAGAAAAATTTTTTTTTATTTACAAATTCTCTTCCTGCATCTTCAAAATTTAACTTTACACACACTTTACGCTCATTGAAGCATTATTAATGCGAATTGTAAATAATTCGATAATATAACTGTATGAAATAAAATTTCTAACAGACATATTATCGTTAATAATAAATAAAATAAAAACTAATTATTTAGTATATTATTTTTATACTTGTATTACATAATAATAGTAATTAGCATAAATCCAAATAAACATATAACAATTTTTTGTATCTTTATATTGAACATGTATCAAAAATAAACAAATAAAGTTAAAATATAAAAGAATAATAATAAATTTTATTAAATAGCTGTTAATTAATAAAATGAAACTCGTAATGAAATTACATTAATTAGTAATATAATATTGAGATTGTACCGAGGTAATGGATAACATTAAAGATTATATTATCTCAAGTAAAATAGCTTCGATATAAAATAATTATATGATGCAACGATTCTTTATTTATCTTTTTACGTGTGGGCTTGAGACAGTATATGAGTGTAAGTACATAAAAAAAATAATAAAAATACACGAGATAATTTCGTACTCTACAATAACTCGTATTACATACCATGGGAACTATTGTTATGCATTATTTTATAGTACATACTCTTGTTCCCTTCATTGCGTGCTTTTTACTCCCACATGGCTTTCACTTGTCTCCGTGTGATTTCTATCCGATCCTACATCATTGGGCCAGACACTTATAGACACTAGACTAGCTATTCCAATTTAACTGTTTATCTTTATATCTTTGTTGAGATTTCTTATTATCGCTTAGTACTTTAACAAGCTAGTTAATTTCACTCTTATCTTAAGTTTAATTCAGTTCCTTCCTTCTTACCAATCTATCAATCTACTATTTAAAACCAATTACAATTACATTTATCTCAGAATTTTTTTAAGTCAATTTTTTTTTCACTTTGTCAACAATAAATGAGTGTTGCTTCCTTTTAAAGTATAAGAAAATTTATTTCTTAAAAAATTAACAATATTGTAATTAGAAATTAATTTGTTTAAAATTTTTATTTTTTAGTTGAACAAATAAAAATTGTTATTTAAAAAAAAATTTTTATAGATTTGGGAAAAAATAATTTTGGATAAAAGTTTACAAGTTAAAATTTTTTGTGTAAAATTTTTTAGTAATTTTATGAAAAAAAAAATTTTTTTTGAAAAAAAAATAAATTAATTTGTTTAAAATTTTTAAAAATTCACAAGTTAAAATTTTATTTTTCCAAATCAAATTTTTTTTTTCACTAAAAAAATTACTGCGATGAAAATTTTTATTTCTTCATTTAAAAAATAAAATTTTTAAATTAAAAAAAGTTTTTTTTATCAGAAAATTACAATTTTTATTAAAAATAATCGATTTTACCTAGAAAGTACGTCAGAAAAATTTTTGACAGCTTAATGATTTATAATTAAGAGGTTTATTTATTTAAAAAGAGTTTTCACGAGTTAATAAGGCGTAAGACGAAGAAATAAATACAAGGGAAAGCTGTTTAGTTATTATATTAATAATCATAATTTTGTGGTGAGATATATTGATGACTTTGCTAGTTACAGCTCAGTATAACTTGCATTATTTATTTAGATTTTTATATATCGTCAAAAGAATAAATTATTTATTACTTAATTTTTTCAAAATTCTTTTAACTTTAGTTAAATTAATATTTAAAATTTTCATAATTTCACAATAATTAAAGTGTGTTAAAAAAATCATATATTCTCGATAAAACTATTAAAAAACAATAGTATTTTTCTTATCTGAAAATAAATCTTGTTTAGTCAGTACTCTGGGGTAATGTCTTGATGAAATGATGACTTTGTAAAAAAAATTAGAAAATCGGTTGACCCTAAAAGCCATCCCTGCAACTTCCTGCTAACTCCATACTTAAGCGCTCAGAATTGCACTTATTGCATTTTTGAGCTCTTCGAGCTCAAAAATCTAATAGAAGTTTAATGAAACACTATTTTTTTTATTTTTAACCCGCAATAACTTTTGAATAAATGAACCAATTTTTACGCGGTTTGCGGCATTTGACGCAATTTTTTAAGCTCATGAAGAATCTTTAAGTTTCAATTGATCGAATCAGAAATTTCGAAGTAATTCCAAAAAAACACTTTTTTCGGTTTTCTATCGACAACGATAACTCACGAACGAATCAACCGATTTCAACCGGGCTGGCGGCGATCGCCGTGGTTTTTTTATGTTAAGAGCTGATTAGTTTTTGGGATAGATTGGTAGAGCCGTTTAAAAGTTATTCCAAACATAAACTAAGCTAAATAGAATGACTGCGCTGCTTATCTTTCTATTTAGAAAATATTTTTGTAAAACACTGTCAATGTGATACAAATAAAAACCATTACTATTAAATTATCCCAAAAAAACCACATTTGAAAAAAAATTTTTTTGCAGCTTTCTTGAGATTTCTCAAAATCTATCATGCCATATCCTTGAAGGAAATTGAATTCCCTACAAAAAAGCTTTCTTAGTAAATTGACGAAGGACGAATCGTTTTCGAGCCTTGTAATCGAGCCTTAAACATTGATTTATTTTTTCAATTTTTTAATTTTGATTCTGGATTTTGGTAACCACCATAAATATCAATTTTTTTCATAAAGCAAATAATTATTCTGTAGTAAAATTTCATTCTCTACAAAAAAGGTCTCCTATCATTTTTCATCAAATTCACTCCTTTCAAAGTTATTCGTCTTTAAAATAAAATTCAAAAGTAATTAACCGTTTATTTTGCGTTAGACATAATTGATTTCTTTTGTTTGACAAATTTAAGATTTAAATAGTAAAAATACCTTTTTCTTCTGCAGATCAATGAATTTTTTTCAAAAAATCAAAATTTATCGGGATGTTATCTTAATAAAACCATTGTTTATCAACTAATGGCAGATTTTATTAATCGTCTTAAAATCTATTTATTTAAAACCAATAACTTCCCGATTTTTGAAAATTTTCAATTTTTTTAGCGGGAAGTTAAAAAAACATTAATATACTTCTGAAAGTTATCTTTCAGATAACGATCGAATGAAAAACCACTCTTTAATTGGATTCAAACTTTGAAATCACACTTAACAATAATTAACAAAGTTCAATACACAAACAAACTAACTGTTGACGCACGCAAATTTAAAATTGTCAGTAAATTCTCAAATATCTTGAAAGTATTATCTCAATCCCGAAAATCATGATCCCGAGCGCAATAAGAAACCCAAAGAAATCCTAATATAAAATTGAGATGAAATGTATGTGGCATCAAACTATTCGTAACGTGATTGGTCGAATATATCATAAGCATGAAAATGTATGCAAACTCTATAGCCAAGGCGCGCGCTTGCGCGCGTAAATTCAATTCTAGTAATAATTAAAAATCAATTCATCATAATCAAAGTGCTCATACTTTTCCATCTCTTTAATTCTTGTTTTCTTTTTACTTTCCTCCATTACCCTATTGAGAAACCTCTTTTTGAATAAAAGTGTCTCCCAATCCTGGATCCGCAGCTTTAAGCGCCATTTTGTTGAACTTACTCATCAAGGGCCAATTCTTCGTGGCCCAAGAAACTAATAGCTCCTTGGAGATAGCCTCCGTTGAAATGTACAGATCATTATCTCTTTACTTGACATCATCAGTGAGTGGTCTGTAAAATAAATGCAAGCTATTGTCGAATTTTTTCTTACGTTTAAAACACATTTCTTGATGTCCACATATGAAATTGGGTGAATATATTTTCTATCTTCATCAGTGACCCACAGTTGTTTATTCATAATATCACTCTCTAATATGTCTAAATAGTATACATGGAATTAGTTCTCATAGAAATCCTCCAGACTATCGACGTTACGCTTCGGAGGATTCGTTAACGTAGCTGTTATGTTGCCCAGACAATCAGGAACTATCAGAAACGTAAACAGGAAACCAAAGAAGAATATAACCTTTATCGCAAGACGATTGAGTGGAGTTTCAAGCGCCATACCAGTAACTAACCTCGCCATTTTCATTACAGCTAAACCTATGTCATCCTTGATGATGATCACCATTACTATTGTAAACATGATTAACAGCAAGCTTATTCCGATTACAAACTGTTCATTGTTAATTATTTCGCTGATTCCCGTTAGAAAATCAGTCTTTTTGGTCACAATTGAAATTTTTGTTTCTCCAGTATAGTCCTCTAGATGATCCGTCTTGTCAAAGGTGATGCTCTTGCAAATCTGTGGGTCTGAAAATAAGGAACGAGTTATAATTTTTAGGACACTACTTACCCTAGCGGTTTTGTAAATGTCGAAAAAATGTTTTGGTTAGTTTTTTCATCGAAGAATTACGGAACATTTACCGTAAAAATGCGAATAATTTACGCTGAAAATGCGGCATACTTATGGTTATAAGGTGGTAAAATCCCTGTATTAAAACCATCTTTAAAAAATGGTGTAATATTAAATAATGCCCGGACTGGGATTCGAACCCAGAACCTCCAAAAGACATGTTGGCTACTCTACCATTTGAGCTACCCGGTCTATACCAAATTTTCTTTTTGCTTATTCTATATACAATAAGCCATACCGTCCATCTTACGATAAGCATTTTTAAAATTAAATAATATAATTATGTATGTGAAACAATATAACTTTTCGATTTTAGAAAATTTGCAATTTTCGAAGTGAGAAATTAAAGATTGAAATTAAAATTAGAATATATTTACTTAACATATGTATTCCTTTATATTCATTATCGCTAAATACCTAATTAAAAAATAATATTCTACATAGTATTTATTCAAAAACAATATTTGTTTTTGCATAGTAGCGATGGAGAATAAAAAGCAAAATTGGAAATTTTTCATTTTATTCATTTCTAACATAGAAGTGAACTGAAAATAAAACCAAATCTTTAATAATTATCCATTATATCAGAAAATATTCGGCAAAATTACTGTATCATTACAGTAATTATTTGGAAATTTTTGGGTAAAATTTGGGCATTAATGCGGTAATTGTACAGTATATTTTTGGTAACTGTACAGCATAAGTGCAATATATACTGGATAATTAGAGTATAAAAATTGGCCAAAACAACTATAATAGTTTTAACCACATTATTATCGAATTATAACGGTAAATATACGGCATGAGCATAAATGCCGAAAAATTACGGTATTTTTACGGCATTCTCAAAACCACGAGGGTAAGTATTCAATATTTAAAGTACCTTTTATATATTCGAGTCTGAAGAGAGTAAGTTTCTTGTCTCTGTCACCAAATTTTTCAATCAGCTTCCATGGCGCCGGAGCGTAGCTTGCATAAGGATTCAGCATGTAGATTACCGACGAATTTTTATTCTTGCACAGGTAATAAACAGAGAGAAAATCTCGGTTCCACATGAACTCTAGTATTTTCTTGGTGTTGGAACAACGCGACCCGGTTCTGACCATCAGAAACGGCGATCCTGTGTTCCAAAACTTTGATCTTTGGAGATTGTCGACGACCGGTTTTAGATTATCGATCGATCTAAATGAAAGGATATATATCGGATACGCAGGGAGAAAACCTGTGATCTGTTTGTTGAATTTGTGGTCGATTACAATCAGCGAATTTTCCCCATGGTTCCAATTATCATCGAGCAAATCCTCGGAGATCATCACTAGATTTGAATTATTGGTGAAACACATTTCAACCAATTCCCTCTGTGAATAATCGTTTCATTAAATTTTTATTTTAAATTGAAGTTTTTTTTTTTTTTAAATAAGCAATAAGACTTACCGCATCGTGCTTCAGACGTCCTAAAGAATTTTCTTGCTGGCGATCGTTAATTATCATTTTATTCCCGCTGACGCTCGCAATAACCAAACAGAAAAAGATAATTCCTTGCTTCATATTCGATTTTTGTAACATTGAATTATTTTTTATATAAATTAATGGAAATTTCTGTAATTTTTCGGTGAAATGCGAAATTTTTCTCGAAAAGACTGAACGTCTGCTTTCTTCAAAGAAAAACTTTCTAGTGACGTGCAATGCAGAAAAAATTGTGAAAATAATACAAAGTATCCATGGCAATATTTGTTGTGGCAAGCTTTTGAAATCAATAATTTAAATAAAAATACATTATTCGCTTATTGCCAGCGTTATCTCGGTGCATCTCAGTGCAAAACCATGTACTGCTTATATATGTCAGCTACCGAACGGTTTTATACTGAATAAAATTTAGCATTTTATCTTTATAAGCTCCCAAGGAAAAAAAAAGTTGAGATCTCCAATCAAGTATATTTTTCTGTCAACTTTTAAAAACAATATTTTTGATCTTTTTAATTGTAATATAATAATAATGGGAGTTTTACTTGTATCACTTGGTCAGTGTTGTACAAGGGAGGGTGGGGTATTATTTTTTCACTTCCCTTGTTACACAAAACTTTTTCGAGCTCTACTCTGTATTTTTACCTCAATTATTATTATCACTTCACTTATTACCTACTCTTCAACCCCACCCCCCTGCATGTCGGGATTTTTTATTCCCAACACACACTTCTTAATGCGGCTGTGGACCGACTTGTGCCTTCTGTACCGTATTCACCCTGGTCCTCACCACTCGGGTATTGGAACAGAAACATGGGGAAACCACAGAGAAAACCCATGTTAGTACAGTCGGAGCTGAGTTAAGTCTACATTGATTGATAAGAAATTCTTCTTTATCGACCACTGGAGCATTAGGCCCCTCTCCTAGTGTGCAGAGATCCCTCGCGCTAGCCAACGCTGACTAGAGTGGTCACTCATTCAAGTTGTTGCTTAAATGGGTGATCGCCCAAGTCAGACGAGTACCGCCCGGCTATCTCTGCCACTTCCAGAAAAATATTTAGAAATTTAAAAATTAAAAAAACAATTTTGGAACGTACTTGGTGTGCGTCATATTGTGTATTTCAATTTTTTTAAAGTCCTAGTAAATAGATTTTACGAATTTAGTTAAAAGTAAAATATTTTGCAACCGCGCACACTAAATACGTTCCAAAATTGTTTTTTTAATTTTTAAATTTACAAAATTTTTTTTAATTTCCGAAAATCATAAACAATCATATCAGTTACTTGGATTTTTTAATTTTTTTATTTTACATCTTTTTGTAAAGAAAAAACTAATTTTTTTTTCTTAATAGTCTTATAAACGTGGACTTGGCGCGTTTTTTTTACAGTGAAACTGTTTTTGTTCGGATTTTAGTATTTTTTTTAATTATAATAAAAATTTACAATTGATACCAACTTAAATCTCGCGTTGGGTGCATTTTTTTTATAGCAAACTATTCCCTTGAGGCTACAGTTTATGTAAAAATAATTCCAGTGCACCCTGGCGGGTGTATATGCAAGCTGTGAAATATCTTTTTTTGACTGTAGTTTCCCATCTAATGAAGGATTACTATGTATTCTCGAATTATTTAGTCTGTGGCTGATCACTTTGCCCATCGAAAAAAAGTCAGGATCGAAATTTATATTATTCGTTCAGTTGAACGTTCGAAACTTCAAGTACATGAAATTTTTGCGTTGCTATAGTTTGTGCTGATTAAATTTATTAATTTCAAGTAGATTAATTGTTATATGTGAATATAATTAATTAATAACAGTAAATTAAAGTATGAATTACTGTTATAATATACAATTTAGGAAAAAAAAGTACCGTAGAATTAAATAAAATTTTGCAATCTCAAAATACCGTTCTGCTTACAGTAAACACAGTTGGTAGTCTGGCGCTCCGTTGACAACGGATTTGAACGGAACTTGGCGCCAGATTCTACCGAATCTGTGGATATTTGTGTTAAATTTTTTTACTGTGCATGACAAGAAAAACGAGCGCCGATCTTAAAAAAAAAAAATAAAAATTACTCTGTAAGAAATTACTTAATTATTATTATTTTTTTAATCAATTACACAATTTATTTTATTCTTAAAAAATGGATAAGCGTTATGAGGCGTGCACTTTTGGATTTTCCAAATTTTTTTAAAATTACTATTACAATTATTTTGTCATAAGAAATATTCTATTACATCGTAAGATTGTTATTTCCAGTAGCATAACTTCTCAGTTTCAATTACTAAAGCATTAACATAAATAGCCTATGAGACGCATATTAATATTGTTTAAACCAGTGAAATCCATCATATTCCTTAGAAGCTTACCCGTTTATGACATTATAACACATAAAATCCACTGTTATGAATCTAAAACAAAAAAAGTTGGACAAGATACCTAAAAACATGATAATTTCGGTAGCGATAAGATAATAATCAGATCGTAAACAGTGATGCATGGTGTAGTCTAGATAAAATCAGGAGGAATGCATCAAGGTTGGTAAGTGGCAAGTGGCAAGTGGTAAGTAAGTCAGCCGTCGTTGGGAAGACTACATATTAATATGCTGCAAACTAGTACAAAGAATAAGAATAATTATGAGGATGAGAGAGGGAGGATGGTGATGGATACACTCTTAACATTTTACTTTTTACTATGAATGGTGTTTTGCTTAAGGGAAGGGTTTGGGCGCTGGTATATACTATTGTGTCACTCTATATATAATAGAGCGGTCGCAACCCACGCACGTATTGTTAAATTAACCGCGTGTGCGGTAACATGATTTCCAGTTGCAAGGTACCAGCCTTTTATTTATTTATTTAATTAATATTTATTTTCACGTGATTACAAGTGCTAATTATAATAAATCTAGTATTTATTTTATTACATTAACATACACCCGATAAAATTGTTTTGTGACGTTTTGCTAATATTTTATTTTCATTTCTTCTCAATTGTTTTTAGTAAAAAATTTTACGGAATATTTTTTTAATTGTTATTTGTTTGTTTAAGATGACGCCATGGTTGGTGGCTGTTTTTTGTCTGGCAACCGCGGGTTGCTTAAACGTCACGGATCAACAGACATCGGAATCGCAAAATGAACAAGTTGCGATTCTTAAACAATTGAGAAAAGTTAACGATGATGGATCTTACACTTTTGGGTATGAAGCTGGCGATGGCTCTTTTAAGGTATTATTTATTTATAAATATATATTAACATACACTGAGAAAAAAAAAATTTATTTGAACTAAGAGAAAAATTTTTTAACCAAAAAAATAATTTTGAAAAGTTTAATTATCTTAATTCAAGAAAAATTTTGAAGTTTAAGAATTTTTCTACTCAAATTAATTCAAGTTAATTTTTTTTTTCTGTGTAATTAAAAGTCAATTAGTGAAATTACTTATAGTCAATTCATTCACCGTTTGAAATAAAGTGACCGGTCCAGTGAATAAACACAAGCAATAAGTAAATAAAAATTTTTAAATCTTCAAATTTTTTTTTAATAATTTTGATCTGAAATTTATTTTTAAAATTTTTGAAATTAATTTACGCTCAAATTATTTAAAAAATTGATAATTTATTAATTATAAAGTCATTTAAATACTTGAGAATATTATAGCGTTTAACTCTTGCACTAATCAGGATTCGAACCCTTGACTTACTTTCGGACGCTCTGTATAGTCTAAGACCGTTACTGCGATTAAATTTATCCTGAAAAATATTTTTTTCCCATTTTTTATCAAAGTATTTTATTTCTAATTTTTTATAAAAATTTTGTTTATATATTTGCTATTTTATTTAAAAAAAATTTTATAGTTGTTTCTCGAACCTCAATTATTGAATCGATAAGAATAAAATTTAGAACTGATTTTAAACAATTAAATTAAAAATAAAATATTTAGGAATTTTCATTTTTCGATCAAAATAATTTTATTTCTTTTAAATAACAAATCGCTAAATATAGATGCATTTTTTATATTAACATTAAAAGCTCTAAATATGATTAAAAAAAATTTATTTCATAAAATAAAAAAAACAAATCGACTCTAATAAATTAATAAATATAATTTTTGAATTATAAATTTTAAGATAATTGGTTTTTTGAGAACATTTTATTCTTTTAATTAGAATAAAATTGCAAGTGTCAATCAACTAGGCCAGTGTCAATAACTGGGTCTTCTACCTTACATTAAAATATTATTGTTTTTTTTTTAATACGTAATAAGATATTGTAAAAGGACGTTAAATTTATACTCCAGTGATCCTGCCATTGCTGTTGAGTCTTTATGTAAATAAATAAATAAATAAATTAACGTAAATCTGTAAATAATAAAAAAATTTTTTATGCCAAAAAAACCAGACGACCATAAAATAAAATAATTACTAAAAATTTGCAATTTTAATATTTCAAAACTAATTTTTACTTTAATATTTCGAATTGACTCAATAGTAATTGACAATATTATCATAAAATAAAAAATTTCATTGATAATATCATAAATACAATATTTTAACACCTCTAAGTAAGTAAATAAAAATGTTCATTTATTTGCTCGATCACTTTCCCAAAAAAAACATTAAAATAACAATGAGAAAAAAAAATTTGTCAGGTAGAAACCCGCGACGTGCTTGGCAATGTTAAGGGTACGTTTGGTTTTGTCGACGGCGATGGTGAAATAAAACGAGTAACTTACTCGTCATCAAACGGAACCGGGTTTAAAGCAACGACGATCTCGCCATTGCAGGAGCGGCCTTCAGTAGTCCAGGCGATTCCTCGCAGCAATCGAAGTTCATCAAGCACAAGAAGACCGAGTTCAATGTCAACATCTACGGAATCATCAATGTCCTCAACACTGTCCACATCATCCTCATCAACATCATCGACGATCAACTCAAAGCTTAATTTAGGACCATCAATCCTCCGCAGAGCCAAGACAACCCCAATGCCCAGTTCAAGTTCCAATTCAACGACAACAGAGTCAGCGCCCAAAACTACATTCGGCACCTACTTAAAATCCACAAAACGTCCCCGATTGTTCTCTAACCAGCACAGACCAAGCCCAGAACCAGAGTCTAGTGAGCAAGAATCAGACAACTTAGAAGAAGACTCCCAGATCACTCGGCCAACCGTCGAAGCCAAAGCCGCAACGCAGCGTAAGAGCTACTTCACAAAACGGCCTCTTGATCACACCCTCCGTCCAATAACCGAAGAGTTTGAGGAAAAAGAAGAAGAGTCCAAGTCGCCAGTCAGTGGCAACAATTTACGCCGGCAGCTGCAAGACGAAACCACCATCAAGGTTCGCGAATCCCAAGAAAGCAGCGACGAACACTCTGACGTCTATCACGCAGGAACACTATCAACTCCCCGTCCGCTATTCACCACGACAAACAACCCGAAAATAATCCAACGCGTCAGGATGGAACGCCCGAAGCTGTTCTACCACCCCAACAACCATCAGCAGCAAGTCAAGTCTTCAGCCGACGAAAACTACGGCCCAGCGCAGTTTGACGATAACAAGTACCAGAGTCAACGAAATTACGAGGCTGAGAACAAAGTTGCTGAGCAGGAGCGAGAAGCACCTGAACAATTCGTCTACCGAGTCCCGCAAGCTCGCTTGTCTCCCAGGGACTATGTAAGACCCATGGACCCAACTTACATTCGCCGACAGCAAATCCTCCGGGACTTACCTCCAGGGCTGTTCGTCCAGCCTCAGGATGGCGAAGAAGAGTATCAGCCACCGGTTGAAAGAATCCTAGCTCGGCTGCAAGCCAGAGCTTACCCACGACCTGACCCAGAAAACGTCGACTACATCTCCGAAGCCCCGGCGATGGAAGTTCAACCTCAAGCACCGCCTCCACCTCCAGTTCCTGCTCCTGCAACAGTCAACCACCAGAACTACATCCCCCGGCAATTCGTAAGGCTAATCCGGCCGTACATGGATCACGAACCGAGACCGCGAGGCTACATGAGACTTCAAGACGAAAAGGACTACATGGATGGCTATCACCGGAATGTTGTCCTTCCTCCAGAACCGCCTAATCCAATCGCACCGCCGCTCAGCCGTCGGGATTTCCAGCTTCTTCTTAGGCGGCTGCTTGTCAGCCAGTATGGCACCCAAGCCTTGAGCCACCCACGATCCTACTTGGACCACGCTTTGTATGATGAACAGGCTTATTATCAGCGACCCAGGTTGATGTATGAGGAGCCTATTCCCGCGCCAAGAGCTCGTCTCATGCCTGCTATTGATCCTCTCTACAATCCGTACTATCAAGACCCGAATCAGAATTATCAAGATCCTAGATACGCCAGGAGAGTCTATCGGCAGAAATTCTACGAGCAGGATATCAATGAAAGTGATGGGAACAATCATGGAGACGAAATTCTGCCACCGCCGGTCAGAGAAGCGCTTCTGCTTCGCATGCTACAATTGGCTATTAATAATCAGCGCGCGATGGCGCCCAACGCTATTTTAATGAGCCCCACGCCATCTAGCCAGATGACGCCGGTAACTACTTCCGGCTATAGGAAATCCGGGCCTGTCAGAAGCGTGCAAATTATTTCTGATGATAAATCTGAAGATAAAGATGACAGAAAGAAATTATAAGGTTTTATTGTTGAATGTTATTATTAATGTAGCAAGGGAAAATATTTTTGTTTTATCTAGATCTTCTGATGTTGTTTACGGCTTTCCCACATTTATATTCGTGAGAAATGTGAAATCTATTAAGTCATCATAACAATTGTGCCGTATGATGTTTTTTTTTTTTTTCTTAAGTTAAATCATTATGCATTTTTAGTCCATTACGTATAAAATAATACAGATTTACATTTTATTCATATTCATTTTATAAGATCTTTTATATTCTTATTTTTATCCATTTATTGTAGAGAAATTTCATTGTAAATATAGGCGACAATGTACAGTATATAAATGTCAATAATTGAAAACAAATTTTATTAATATACACTGAGAGAAAAATCTGGTTTTCTGAACAAGGAAAATTTAGTTAAATAGTATCATCAATATTTAATGTGAAAAATAATTTCAAACTTTGAGCTTTGAAATTAAGTATACGTATAAATAATTGCGTCATTTATTTAATCCCAAAATTTTAAAAAGATTCACCGTTTAGTTACTTAGATATTAAATTTTCAAAATCACATTTTTTATCTCTTTATACGAGGGCTCTTATGGCGGACAAACTTTAGTCGAGACTTTAATTATTTTTTTCAATATTAACCTCCCAACTTTAACGAATAAAAAACTATACATAAAAAACTTGGATTATTATAAAATATAAAAAAAAATTAATAATAACACATTACCGATATTATTTTTGAAATATTTAGAGTTAAATTTTATGTTATTAACTCGTTTATCGTCAGCTATTTATTCGAATGAAGATTTGGCAACGTCGCGTCAACAGCTGAGAAAAAAAGAAAAGGATAGAAATATAGTTACAGAAATTTCTCTTAAGAGAAATATTTAACTCATACACTCATCCACGTCTCTGTAATGGGTATAATCAAACGCACTGTTGCCAAATCTGTTTATTTAATCCGGCAAGTAATAATTACAAAAGTCATTTTATTACTTTATTTTATTAAATAACTAAAAATCATCAATTATTGAATTGTTCAAATTATTTTAAATTAAAATAAAGAATTTTGACGAATATTGGGAAGACTGAAGATAAAAAAAAATTTAAACATTATTTTGACGCATAAGTTACTCTCGAACCTCCTTAAACTATTTTTAATTAAATAACGTCTTAATAGTCATCTTGATTAACTTTAACTCAGAAAACAGAAAAATTAATTCGGAAAACCCGGACCGGGAATCGAACCCGGTTCTTTTGGGTACGCACTAATGGCTCTTCCAGTTAAGCTATCTGATTATTTTTTGCTTAACACCATAACAGAAAAATATAGTCGATATAATTATTTATCAATACACAGAAAAAAAGGTTCACTTGAGCCAAGAAAATATTTCTCTTCCTAATTATTTCTTGAGCGAAAAAAAAATTTTTTTTTGACACAAGAAATTTCACTTTTTCCAACAAAATTAATCTTGATCCAAGAAAATTTATTTAAGCCAAAAAAATCTTCTCGTTTTGAGAAAATTCAGCCTCTAGCTCCAAAAAATTTAGTTCTTGATAAAAGTAAATTTTCTTGTCTTGAGAAAATTTCTCTCTTACTCCAAAAAATTAAATATAAAGATAAAAGTAAATTTTTATTAATATTTTTATTGATTAACATGTCAAATGGGAAGGTCAAATAATATTGAATAATTTTTTTTCATTCAATATGTATAATTGCACGCTAAAATAATATAAAATGGGTATCAAATATTCAAGAGAAAAATTTTCTCAAGGTCAGAAAATTTTTTTCTCAGCTGAAGTAGGTAGCGCTGCTTCTCCAAAGTATCTAAAAATCTTGATCAAATATAAAAATTTATTGTATCAAGTATTTAAGATAATTTGAATTAAGAAAAAATGACTTCCACCAAGAATAGAATTAAAAGAAAAATTTTTAGCCAACGTAACTTCGGTCTTTCTTCAGGCACCCGAAAATTTTCTTTAGCCAAGAATTTTGTTCTCCAGTCAAGAAATTTTTCTTTCTGTATAGTTACTTAAAATAATGCATAGTAACTACAAAAACAAAGTTCAGAAAACTGTATTTTTATAATTAAGCTAACTACGCAATTTTCTCTCAGTGTATCATCAGCTTGTTCCATTTCATCAGTTGAAATTGTAAAAAAAATTTTATCAATAAGAATTTTTGTATTTATAATAAAAATATTTGTAGTGTTAAAAATAAAAGTGAAAATTTTTCTCACATATCCTTCACACTTTTTTGAATTTTCGTAACTAATGATGTTTACTTAACTTTCGGAGGTTGGATAAAAAAGCATTGTTTCGTGTATAATTAACACACTGGTGTTACAGCAACCAGCGTGGCTTATTGGCCTATTGTGATAGTATTGTTTGTCATTTCTTGAAAAAATAAAAAAAAAAATAATAACTCTCTAACATTTCGGCATGTATTATTTTCACAACGAAATGACTTGTTCTTGTTCTCTGTATGAGTGTGTGATTCCCATGTGTTGGGTGAAACTAGAGCAAAGCAGTGTCTCAGATCTTGTGAGAAAATTCGTAAGTAGTATTGTCTTCTCACACTCAACTTCAACTGGAATTAAATGAAATGGAATTTCGAAATGAAAGTAATGATAAATTAATGTAAAATAAAACTACTTGCTGTTTATTAACATTTTTATCTTACAATTAAAGTAGTTAAAAAATATACATATAATTTATAATTAATAATTAATTAACAGTAGATGTCGCGATTGATAATTTTGATTGGATTGATGTCGATCGTGGTATGTCTTTACTGTTACTCTCGATATCTTCGTCAAGAGAGTAAGAGTTGTAGGGCTCTGTTTGTACAGCAACGTCTTCGTAGTCTAATTCGAATGCGTCTTGTTCATAAATTACATCGTGACTCCGTGGACGTGCGACTGAAGGAATCCACGGTTGAGGTACGCCTTTTCCTAAGGCCAAGAAAACTGCTGCGGTAATTAAAAGAACCAGCGATGCTACGCCAAATACGAGGCGCCATGACCCAGCGATCTAAAAAATAAAAATTATAAATATTATTGTTTAGTTTTTTCTTTTTTTGATGTCAACTTTAAGATAAAAATAATTTTTTTTGTAGAATTTATAATTTAATAGCTATTGAATATTTTAAAATAATTTATTTTGGCGCAATAATTACTTTTAGTAAATTTCTTTAAAAATTGTATTATTGCATTCTGTCTTATCTATCTATACTAATAAATGGAGAGCCAGTTTTCAATAGATTAAATGAAAATTCATTTTCTTTTTTTAATTAGACTAAAAATAGTAATTTAAAAATTTTTTATAATTTTTAATTTTTTCATAGTAGGGAATCTGTGCAAGTCAAAACAATACTCTAATTAAATTTCAAGTCTAGATCTAGAAATGAAATTCTATATAGCGCCCAAGGGAGCGGGCGAGTAACAGCTAGTATTAAATATCTACATATATTTAATAGGATGGTTCGCAGCTTGTTATCACAATAGCGCCCACCATTCTAAAAAATCTTCATGTAACTTCCCAAGCGGCACAAATTTTTTTTTTGTTAATGTTTTATTGAATATAAGTTGACAATTATTAATTTTTTAACTTCTTGTTGAGTAAAATCTACCAAAAAGTCAACAATTTTTTTTGTGACGCTTGAGTTGGTACATTTCTTCTTTGATTAATTTAAAAATGGTGGACACTTAAAGTTTTCAAAATAATTTAATAATTTGGTTACTTTAATTACAGTAATTATTAATTTAATAATAATTTCTAAATAATTATATTTAGTCTAATTTGTTTTTTAATTTGACCTGTTAAATTTATAATTTATAATAAGTTTATAAATGTTTATAGTTTAAGAAAATAAAATAAAAAAAAATGCTATTTATCTAATTTATCCATTAAGTAAATTTTGTATGGCAAATCAAAAGTGAGCTTTTTATATAAATTTTAATAAAATAAGCTCTAAGTTACATTTTTAAATTATTTTTATCCCTTCATAGATTATTGAATGCATAAAAAATTTAGTGTTGTCCTTTTTTCAATTAATTTTATAAAATATCTGTAATAATGTTTTAATTAATAAAAATTATAAGCAACACTAAATCTAATTAATAATTTTTTTTTACCCAAGTGAAATTCAATACATAATTTATTGTATAAAAATGAAAAGTTTGATCTACTAATTTATTTAGTTTGGAATTTCTTCTTTACAAATAAATATAAAAATTGTTTAAATAATTTTAAAAACTCAATACAGGGTCTGACAGTTTTTTAAATTTTTAAATTATTGTTTTAATTTTGATTAAAAAAAAATTAAATTTTAACCAGATCTTGATTTTTTGACTAAAAAAGATGAAAAATTGGTGACAAATTTATTTTTACAATAAATGCATTGTAAAATAATAAAAAAAAAAATTGATACTTTCTATATAGCAATAAAATAAATTTCTTCTTTTCTTCTCTTTATTAAAAAGTATTTTCTAGCCTGTTAAATATATAAAAAAAATAACATACCGATCCATGAAGCGCTTGGGTAACAAAATAATTAGCAGCAAGTAATCCAGCAGCTCCTAAGGTAGAGCACAGAGCACAGGCAGCTGCTGCACAAGCTGGAGATTCAGCGGGAGCTAAATCAGCAATTGCTGCAAGAGCTCCAGCCGGGGCAGTACCGGAAACTAGTAGTGCGGCTATTCCCAACCAAGCTGCTCCAAGAGCTTGACAACCCGCGTATCCGGCGACGAACAACAATGCAGCAGGTATGAAATGAGCTGCAACCAATGTCTTGTTGAAAACTTTGGTGTTATTTTATTTAGCAAAAGATTACCTGTATAGACGACCAATTTTCTCGCAGTTGTCGTCGAGACAATGCCTGATTCGCGAACGTGGTCAACGAGAAGACCACATGTCAGAGCTGCCATGAAGTGACCGATATGAGGCAATGTGGTCAATACTGAATTCTGTTATGACACTTAATGTTAGAGATCATTTGTTTTTTTTTTTTTATTGTCAATTTTACTTTTATTAAGACTAATTGTAAGATTGTAATAATTATAATGACTAATTATAGTTATTAAAAAAAAAATTGAATTATTGAAAATTTTCATGAGATTTACTCACATTTGCTGTCGAAAATCCATAAATAAGTTTGAGATATTTAGTCATGCCAAGTGCTAGGGTAGCATCACCCCACTGGTTGCCCATCGTAGCGACCGCGGATGCCCAAACCGGAACAGATCTCAATAATTTACCCCAAGGTATTACGGCTCCCTAGAGTGGAATAATTGAATTAATTTTATTATATTAAATTACATTAGATGAGGGAATATTAAATTATTTTTATCTTAAATAGAATTAATATAAAATATACCGTAGTATCATGTTGATACGACTTTGGAGTGTCTTTTACAAAGTGACCAAATGTAAAGTACCAACAAAGTGCTATAAATACTAATCCGTAACACAGAGAGTCCCTGCCGAAGGATCTTACAGCAGCTGTACCAATCCAACCGGTTAAACAGTAACCAACACTGACAGCTAAAATTACAGTGAGATTATTATGGATAATAGGGTGGCGTAAAAAAAAACCGACTATTTTTTTTTTAATCTCGAGTGAAAAAATGTTAATTTTTGAGGTTTTAAGAGCCCTCACCAAGAGACAGCTTGAAAAAAAATTTTTAAGAGGTCGCCCCAAATTTTTTTTAAATTTCAAAAATCGAATTTTTTTATTTTTATTATTATTTATTTAAAAAAAATAAGTTACTGAAAGTTTCAGTTCAAAATTTAAATTTTGAAAGGTCGGTCATAATTTTTTTTAATTTATTAGTGCATTACTTTAGATTTTTTCAAGCGACCTTTTAATATTCAAATTAAATTTCAATAAATTTTTTTTTTTCGTCAACGAAATGAAACAGCGGTAATTTTGGATTACTTACTACAAAACTCATAATCATAATTAAACGAAATATTAAGAACTCAAAAAAAAATAATTAAATATAATGATACGTTTTACTTGTAAAATTATTAAATTATCAAAAAATTATGTTTTCTATATTGTGCTTGATTTTTAGTTCATCTCGTGGTGTATTCTTATCGACTATTGTACTAAATAAAAAAAAATGTATGGAATTTCAATCTGAATATTAAAAGGTCACTCGCAAAAATCTGAAGTAATGTACTAATAAATTAAAAAAAATTGAGCGACCTTTCAAAATTTAAATTTTAAACTGAAACTTTCAGTAACTTATTTTCTTTTGTCTATAAAATTATATCGTAACGAGAAAAAAAATTAGATTTTTGAAATTTAAAAAAATTTGGAGCGACCTTTTAAAAATTTTTTTTTGAGCCGTCCTTTGGTGAGGGCTCTTAAAACATCAAAAAATGTCTATTTATGATGTTTTACAACTCGATTATATTCAATAAAATTTTTTTTTTATTATACGTTAATTTTTATTATGATAATTTACCGGCATAACAACTGAAGTACCAACTTCGATGGTTACTTTTGAACCATGTCATAGCAAACATATGAGCAGCTGGCATTGTTGCACCCTATAACAATAAATTAATAGATCATATGTATGATTAATAAATAATAGCTAAAAATTTATCAATTATCTTTAATTAATGATTAATGATTCAAAATTTATTATTATTATTAATCATTTAAAAAATTTTGATTAATTAATAATGATTGATGATTTATTAATTATTACTTTTGATTTATTAAAAAAATTAATTTTAATTTATTACTTTTTAAATAAAATTATGCATATGAATTTATTAACTTCAATTCATTCACATAATTATTATTAATCAATAAAGACCTGAATATAAATATGATTGAATAAAATAAGCAATTTAAAAATGATTGTTTAAACTAACTGTGCAAAGTCCTTGAAAAAGTCGTAAAGCAACATGTGAAGGACCTCTCCACGCTGCGGGTACAAGTATAGAAGCTAAACAAGCACCTAGAACAGCTCGAGAGAAAACCATTGATGGTCCAGATCTTCCCCAAACAAGACAGCCACCAAGGATTGGACCGGCTACTTGACCCCATAGAAATGCTTCTCTCATGATTGACTCAGCACGTTCTTCTTGGGGTAACTATTATCACGTACAATTATTCTTAAAAATTTATACACTGCTAGATTAATTTTTTAAGATGTTTAACTCACTTCTAGAAGGATTACTTCAAAATCTTCAGTACGATTTCGACTACTGATATTAACCAGCATATCACAATGCCACGATGTATCAATGATAGCATGGTTGTCTTCTTGGTTTGCTAATAATGCTACCGAGGAACTAACTTCAACTGCACCGCAGAGGGCAAAACCTACTGCTACAAGTCCTGCGACTATATGCCGAGCTCGAACGGCCGCTAAAATAAAAATTTTAGTTTATTTAGTTTTAACTACGTCATGTTTTATCGAGGTGCAGGAGTTTTATAATATATCATACAAAGAAAAAAAAAAATATAATAATTAAGATAAATTAAATCGAATTTTCAATAATCCATAAACTAATCTTCTTGCGAATACATTTAGATTTAACATTTAAATTTTGGAGATTCAACGGTAATTTATTATAGTATTTAATTGCAACATAGGATGCATTTGTTGAGCTTATTGATTTTTTAATTTTAGGTAATATTAGTTGTCTACTTTTGGTATTTGACAATCTTTTCGCAAATAACTTTCTACATTCCTAGAAGTAGTACGTAATACTATTGGCTATGAAAGACTATTTTATATTTCATAGTGTTACAAGTTCTTTAGTTGTATTTATATTATTAATTAGTCTGTTCTGTAAGGAGATAAGCCTATAGGCTTTATAGAATTATTGTATGCTCCCCTTCTCCCCCCCCCCCCAGGCAGTAATTAATAAATTACTTTTTTTTTAAATAAAAAATTCATTAGATTTAATGAAAATTCATTTTTTTTTTTAATTACACTAAAAATAATGATTTAAAAATTATTTATAATTTTTCATTTTTTCATAATAGAAAATTGAAAATTTTTCAGCTGTGAAGATATATTAAGGCTATTAAATAATCAGAATTCCTGCTCTGTACTTTACACTAATCACGATACCGTTTCTACACTGAAAGAAAAAAATGTCTTTTGAAAAATACGGGCATTTTTGTGACAAAAAAAAATTTCTCTCAGTGCAAATTCACCTTTTTAAACAATAAAATTGATTAGTTCTCTGAAAATAGAGTTCGATAATTTTGGCTTAAAGTGTAATGAAAAAATTAAGAAAATTATATATACTAATAAATGGAGAGACGGTTTTTTTGTTCGGTTATACTGCGAAAACTACTGAACCGATCGGAATAATACCTATACCATAAGATGCAGCGTGTTTCGGAGAAGGTTTTAGTAAATGACATGGTAGTGATTACTTATCTGGAAACTATATTTTTTTGACTTAGAAATAATGAATTTTTATTTCAACTAAATTTATTCTATTAGATTGTCATTCGTTTAAAATAAATTTTTTAATTCTATTGGTTATGTTTATATACTAGGCAGATTTCTTCACTTATGAGCCGTGCAATTTCTTTAACTGAAACTTTCAATGCTCATTATAAATTTTTTTTTTCATATCAATTATTATTCATTTTTGTAAGAAAGCTACGAGAATGTTATAATGATTGCAGATTGAAAGTTGCAATGAATATTAGCGAGAATAATTAAATAGATAAAAAATACATGCCAATTCGATAGAATTTGGAATCGGTGCAAGTCAAAACAATACTCTAATTAAATTTTAAGTCTAGATCTAAAAATGCAATTTTCTAAAGCGCCCAGCAGAGCGGACGGGTAACAGCGTAATTGATAAATTCAGTAAAAGTAATAACGCGTTTTTTAATACTTTATTATTGATGAATGTACATAACTTATAGGAGTATAAGTAAGTATTATAAAAAGTTTCATTTAGTATGATAAATATCTAATGAAACTTTAAAATTATTCGAAATCAGAAATTTCTTAAGCGAGCTTAGAAAAGTTACAATTTTTATTTCAAGAGACACATTTTCCGAAATTTTTTAACAGTGATAGTTTTTTTTATTAAAAAATAATCTCAATTAAGAAAATAAATTTTACAGGAAATTTGAGTTACTTTGAAAATAAAAAAAAAAAAACCTCTTTGAAAATTATTTGATGACAAAAAATTAGAATGAAAAAAAATAATATTTGAATTTTCGAAAATTATTTGTTTTTAATCAAAAATCAAATCGAACATAAAAACATTAAAAAATTGTATTATAAATTAAATAAATTTTGAAAGTGAAATTGTAATTTGTAATTTTACACTTTTATTTTTGCTTTTATATAAAAACTATAAATTAAGTGTAACCACTGTATCGATTTATTTTCAATCAGTTTTATTATCCAGATAGTGTGACGATGCAATAAAATGAATGTCAAGAAGCATAAAATTCGGCAAAAAAATGATCGAGAAAGTGAATGGTAAGAAATTCGTCTCATCTCAAAAAAATGCAACAATATAATTCTGAATTTCCGATTTAGCAAAAAAATTTTTGCATATGTAAACTTTCTATCTAAATTTCATTTCTTCATAAAAAATTTTTTTTTATTCTTTATACTAAAAATTTTACAACTTAATTAGCTGGCGTCTAAAAATAGGCAGACATTACAATATACTATAATCTCTTTGTTTGTAACCGTAATAGTGAAGTAAGTGGGCTCTGTTTACTTTTGTGAGCGCTCGAAATTATTTTTAATCAAATTTAAATACATTACTTATTATTATACACTTCCTTATTTGAAATAAATAAATAAAACTTTTATTGTGTATCATATAGGTGGATTTTAAGTCAATGTCACGCTGGAATTTATTGTAATTATACTATTATTCTAAGATTTGTTTACCGACATTGAAACTATTTTTTTCTAATTATTATAAACTTCCGCACTGGTGAATTTAAATACAGTGAGCTGTCTTTTATACTTAAATGATATTATTTATAGAGAATCTCTTTATCAGAAGAAATAATGTAAATAAGATTGGGAATGACAAGTACATGTCTTTTGTCAGATAATAAATGAGGAATTTTTTTATCACTATCATAAAAAAAATTACAACAATTTCCAAAAAAAACTTAGCAGATTTTGCAAAATTACAAAATTATTTAAAAAATTTTAATTAGAAAAAAAAATTATCACTTTTTTTATAAAATTAATTTTATTTATGAAAATTAATTAAATAAAATTCGATAAAAAATAGGAAATTTTTTTTAATATTATAAAAAAAAAATAAAAGAATTTCCGAAAATAAAAATTATCACATAAAATTTAATTTTATTGATGAAAATTAATTAAATAAGTTCGATAAAAAATGGGGAAAGTTTTAGTTAAAAAAATTTTTTTTTAAGAAAAAAAAACGAACCTTTAACTTCTTTAGCAGCTTGTTTAAATTGTACACTGCTGCGCTTAACGAGCTGTACACTACCTTTCCTGACAAAGTCTGCCATTTCACAAACCTCAAAAACATTTAATTAAACAACACGACATCCCTGTATTACTTATCATTCATCAAGGCTTAATTAGATTATTTGAATACACACTCATACCGAAAGAGTCATCACCAGTGAACCTCTATCTATACAATATAAAATTAAATCTTTGCGTATTTCATTCAATGTTTGAACATTGCTGTAAAAATCGGCGAAAATTTTAATTTAAAAAAAATTATCAAATTTGTGGTAAATATTTACAAGTGGGGTCATTTTAATTTTCATTTTTTTGAACGAAATTTCTATTTGATTTTATTGATATATTTTTTTTTTTGAAAAATACACAAAAAAATTAACAATTTAAAATTAAAAAAAGTTGATTATCACAATTTTAATAAATTTTACAAATTTTCAAAAAAATTTAAAAATCTTTTAGTTTTCATTTTTTTGAACGAAATTTCTATTTGATTTTATTGATATTTTTTTTTTTTTTTTTTTTTAAAAAAATACACAAAAAAATGAACAATTAAAAAAAAATGATCACAATTTTAACAAATTTTCAAAAAAATTTATAAATTTTTTAGAAAATTGTAATATTCGACTTTTTTTTTTTCAAATTGTTCGTTTTATTATGTACTCTTCAAAAAAAATATATCCAAAACATCAAAAAAAGATAAAATAGAAATTTTATCTAAAAACACGAGAGCCAAAATTTTTTCCAACTTTTAAAGGCAAAAAAGTTATCGAAATTTTTATTTTTTTCTTTCATGGTATTTTTTATCATAAATAATAAAAATCATACTTCTAAATAATTACCAAATTTATTTATATTTTCTTACCTCTGACTTCTAATGCGGCATGTCGTAGCTGAACACTGCTACGTTTAAGTTTGTTAAGAGCAGCCATTATCGATGGATGATTGATAAATGACTGATAAGTGATAATTATCGGCAGTAATTTTCGAAAGAACTTATATCGATGCTTATTCGATACATTGCAGATTAATTTGCACTTAATAATTTAACATACATGTATTTTATTTATTTACACTGATTTTATTTTAGAGAATAAAAGAGACATGTTAATTTAAGTGAAATTTAAAAAATCAGCAGAGATAACTCTTTAGAGTTACTGTCTGGTTGGTGTTACATCGCAAGTGCGAGAGCAGAGTCAATAAAATATGGTCGCTTAACGAGTCTTGATACAATAAGTACCTATGCTAGATCAGCCTTGAGGGAACTTTGTACGCTTACCTACATAAATACACTAAATTAATAGAACTTGGTGAGGGATCACTGTCAAAAACGGATTTATTATTTAAACTGGGTCATTATGCTATCTGTATATTATTTTATTTTATTCTTTACATTAATATTGTTTACGGTATTTGTGAATAGATCTTTCAATTGATGTGAGATTATTTTTAAATTATTATTATTATTTATAGTATACGAGAAAAACTAGTGCTTTGTTAAAAGCATTGAAAAGAAAATTGTTTGTCATCAAAAAATTGAAGACTAAGAAGACGGAAGTTATTAATAAAATTTGTCTGCCGACGATATATAATTAGGATTATTTCGGTCCATGATTGTACTCCTCTAAGCTGATAAAAAAAATTAGGAAAACGGTTGACCCTAAAAAAGGCCATCCCTGCAACTTCCCGCTAATTCCATATTTAAGCGCTCAAAATTGCACCTATCAGGTTTTTGAGCTCTTCAAGATCAAAAATATAATTTTCGTGTCATTTTTTGCTTTCCGAGCTCAAAAGTCTGATAGAAGTTTAATAAAACACTATTTTTTCGATTTTCAAACCGCAATAACTTTTGAATGAATATAACGATTTTCACGTGGTTGATGGCATTCAACGCAGTTTTTCAATTTATATGATATATTTTTAAACACAAATTGATCAGACCGGAAATTTCGATGTAATTCGAAAAAAACACTTTTTTTCGATTTCTTCCGTCAACGATAACTCACGAACGAGTCAACCGATTTTGACCGGCTTTGTCGCGATCGACGTGGTTTTTCGATGTTAAAAGCTGATTAATTTTTGGAATTGATCAATCAAGCCGTCTGAAAGTTATTAAAAAAAAACCACATTTGAAAAAATTTTTTTTCGCAGTTTTTTAAGATTTATCAAAATCTATCGGTCCAACTTTATTGCTAAACAATTTTATTGATAAAACTAAATAAAAATTAAATATCGTTCATAAAAAGAGTTTTGCATCTCACAGACAAAATTATTTTGCGATTTAGTAATCGCCTATAGCATTTTATTCAATAAATTTCCTGGAACTCTGGCCATGGGCCCTACTGTATTCACGTCGCTTTGGAGCGAACTGTTATTTCTGAAACTGTATCGATAACGAGTGCTAAACTCAACTGTAACTGTATCATGAAGTATCTGTAACCCGTGGATCGTTGCTCTCAACATCGGTCTGATGGTGACCTATGTCCTTGATTTCTCCTTGGAGCTTTTCTCAACCGCTCCCATGGGACGTTTCCTCCATACTCTCGTTTGTATGGACCCATTGCTCTCCACTTTTGACTGCAGTGTGGACAAGTGCGAGTGGTTTCCTTGGCTCTGCTACACATCTGGCAAAAGATGGTCCTTTCCTCGGGACAATGACTGTAATGGTGACCTTCCTTATGACAGTTCCAGCATATTGAAGGTAGGTCCCACAGCTTAGATGATCGGGAGCTTTCACTGGGCTGAGTCTTATGCACCTGATCTCCTTTACCTCTTCCTGTAACATTGCGTAGGCTGGACTGTTCTCGTTCTTTTGAAGATGGGTAGTTTCTCTTCTCGCCTGCTGTCGCTCGCCCTGACTCTTGAGCTCTTCTGAGCCGCTCACTCGCTGATACTGGTGGTCTCAGAGGCTGTCTCTCCGCTGGTCTACGCAGAGGTACCTTCATTGGTAGTTCGGGTCGGATTGTAGGTGGTGGCATTAAAGCTGGATCGTTGTTCGAGACCTGGAGCTCGTTCTTGAAGGTTGGTGGTGTGGTCTCGGTCACATCCATCGGGACCTCGATGTTAGTTATCGTCGCACGTACGGAGTTTTGAAAATTTTAATTTAAAAAAAAATGGCGACTGATTGAAAATTTTCTCACTATTCTTACTGTGTTTTTTTTTTTCTGTTTTAACCCAACTAAAAAAATCTTTAAAATAAAAATTTTTTAAATTCAGTACGTGCGACGATAACTACATCCTCACGGATTAAAAAGCAACTTAGGTTTTTATTTTCAGATGATCCGTTTTTGAGTTATCGAACCGACCATGGAAGGGAAATTTGTTCTACTGCTCTACGAGATTGTTAATAACTTTGTAATAATTAAATATTTTTTAATAAAAATTTAGGGTAATAATCTTTAATGTACCCTTAATAAAATAAAAAAAATCCGATTCCTAAATTCCTGTATTTTCCTTGTCAAAAAAATTCCCGAAAATCACCTCTTTTTTTCGATCGTCACAGTGGTGTTCCCCCTTAAAAAACAAAATTTCTTAATTGTTTCCGAAAATAATATTTTTAAAAAAATAGCTTTCTTAGTAATACAATATTCAAACATTATTATTCATAATGAAATATTTAAATTTTGAAGACTATGAGAATAATTAACGCCAAAATTTTATAATTTGATTACTTTTTCCATTCTATTTAATTTTTTTATAAACAACATTCAAGAATTTTGCTATTACACATGATTTTATCAGTTCAACTCAATTGATAAAAAATTTTTACGATTACTTCAAAATTCCACGTTATGTTACCCTCAAACAAAATAAAAGTTCATCTTCCCGTGTAAAAAAATATCGTCTTAAAATTGTCGTTCGTTTAAGATCTTAAACGTGACACAAACTAAGACTATTTTAAGACTCTTTTAAGATGCCAAAAAAAAAAAAATCCGAGATTTTTTAATTATTATTTTGATTTTTTTAAGACTATTTTGAGATTTTTTCAAGACGATTTTAAGATTTAAGTTTTAAAATAATTTTTAAATAGTCTTGAAAAATCTTAAAATAGTCTTAAAAAAATATTAAAAAATTTTTAGGCTATTTTCAGAGGTTCTGTAACAGTTCAACCGCGGACATTTCAACCGCGACAGTTCAACCGCAACATTTCAACCGACGACTTTTCAACCGAAGGACAATTCAACCGCAAGACAATTCAACCGATGACAGTTTAACTGCAGTTTTCCTGATAAATTGATCACAAAATCCATCATAATAGGGCACAATAATCATTTTTTTATTTTTGAAATACTGCGAAAAAAACTTTATAATTGTGATTATTAGTATTATTGTTATTACATATCTTGAAATGCAACAAAAACTACATTTCTGACCATTTTTTATATATTTAAAAACGAAATAACGAATATACAGTAATGTTAGATGACGATTAATTTAAATAATATCATGATAAATTACAACGACAAAACAGACGCAATATCATGAAGATACTTGAATTTATTTGTAGATTTATAGTCAGCAACGATATTATGAACACAAACGCGGGTAATTGTGTTGCGCCCTTTTTAACATGGTTTTATGTGTGTTTATTCGACATTAGACCAACACAGAAGCTTGTTACCGTGTTAGGCCCATTTATCATGGATTTTGTCATCAATTTATCAGAAAAACTGCAGTTAAACTGTCATCGGTTGAATTGTCTTGCGATTGAATTGTCCTTCGGTTGAAAAGTCGTCGGTTGAAATGTCGCGGTTGAAATGTCCGCGGTTGAACTGTTACAGAACCATAAAGTGTAACGTTACATTTTTGTAGCGTTACAGTAGTAGTGTATTTACGTGAGTATGTAAGTTTATGTTGTGTGAGTACGGTAGTGTAATAGTATCGAGGACTATCGTGAATGTGTGCTAGTATGTTAGGGTCTCGAGGATGTCGAGCTACACTGCGGAAAAGTGACTGATGTAACGCGTCTCCCGGTCAGTTACCGACGACTGAACTCATCTTCAGCCTTTTGGAGTGAGGTGATTATCACATAGGAGCGACTGAAATGTCGTCGCCCCGAAGTACGGGAGTTTGGCAGGTTCATGTGGTAGCTTGCGATTGCTGTATGCTCGAGGGTAGTCGCGAGTGCTGTCTGAGCTCCCAGGAAAAAATGAACAAAAAAAAAATAGAGAAATGTAAATTATTAATTAATATAAATTAATTTACATAAATTATGATGTTATCAAAATAATCCTCAATAAATTTGAATTTCCCACTACACAGTAAAAAATTTTGCGTCAAAAAATGTTGTGTTAGAAATTTTTGTGTTAAATATTTAATACTTTTATGTGTAAATTTAACATTTATTGTGTTAAACTGACACAAAAAAGTGTTAAATATTTAACATAAAAATTTTTAACACAAAATTTTTTGACGTATTGACGCAAAATTTTTTACTGTGTAAATAAAATATGTTTATTTATTTATTTAGTTTTGTATATGTCAATGGAATAAAACAAAAAATTTCGACCAACTAAAAAAAATTTTTTTTACACACTTTAAACGCAAAACAATGAACAGAGTTTTATACACATAATCTCTCATCCATTAAAATTGGTCTTGATGTAATACTTATTAATGATAGTTATTAAATAAATTATCATGTAGATAATTTATTAACTGACAATATTGATAGAAATTATATTAATAAATGTTATTTTATAAAACATCAACCTTTAATGACGCAATACTTGTAAGAATAATTTTATCCACAGATTCGGTAGAATCTGGCGCCAAGTTCCGTTCAAATCCGTTGTCAACGGAGCGCCAGACTCCTTTGGTGTGCGTCATATTGTGTATTTCAATTTTTTTAAAGTCCTAGTCAATAGATTTTACGAATTTAGTTAAAAGTAAAATATTTTGCAACCGCGCACACTAAATACGTTTCAAAATTGTTTTTTTAATTTTTAAATTTACAGCAAAATTCTTTTTAATATCCGAAATTCATAAACAATCATATCGGTTACTTGGGTTTTTTAATTTTTTTATTTTATATCTTTTTGTAAAGAAAAAAACTAATTTTTTTTTCTTAATAGTCTTATGAACGTGGACTTGGCGCGATTTTTTTACAGTGAACTGTTTTTTGTTCGGATACTTTATATTAATATCAAGTAATAAAAATACTTCCGTGATAAATACGAGCAATAAAAGCAGGAATTAAAAAAAAATATACTGTGGGTAGTTGATATTTTTTTAGGTCTTGCACCACTTTAGGTAATACTTTTCCTCGAATAACTATTCTGTTCTCCCTCCTCTTCAATACAAACGCGTGGTCTTGTATAAAAATGATAAACTTTTTGGAAGCATGGCTATAACAGACAAGCGTTACATAAACACAGTTGGTTTTATACTCTCTTAATTTGATATTTGATAGAAGAGCCGGCAGTTCGTTTAATATACCGAAAAATTTATATTGCATTGAAATTTGAAATGTCTAAAACCGAGATTATGTACTTCTTAATGGTTGTTTGTATTCAGTTTTTAATTCAGTTCTACTTAAACAATAGTGGTACCGATAAAGTAAGTACTTATGGAATACTTTAATTGTTTATTTTTAAATAAATTCTTTGAAACTGAAAAAAATTAAACTTTGAAATTGTTTTACTTATAGAATAATTTATCAATTTTAAATTAATTCATTTACTTTTAAACAATTTACTAATTCTTTGAATATAAATAAATGTTTTATAACTTTTTCAATAAATATTTATGATTAACAAATATTCAAATCATCTCATATTGAAAAATTATTAATCAACAGTTAATAAATCTTATTAAATATTAACAAATCCATCTAAAAGTGAAAATAAATAGAAAATTTCTTGTTTTAAAAATCAAAAATCAATTTTTTGATGTAATGTAGAAAATTAATTTTTCTCCCCTCCGTGCGGAAAGCGTCAATTTTCTGCTTGCTGCGCTAAAAAAATCAATATAGATATTTTATTTGTTATTTTCTAGAACATAGTTTAATTTTTTTTGTCAATTTAAATTAAATTAATTATTTTATGATTTTAGTGCAATACTAATAACGACTGTCCTTGTGACCAGAAAAACGTTTGTCTCTCTTCTGATAAAAATCCGGATTACAAGGGTGAATGTGGTGCTTCCAAAGATGATGAAGAAGTTAAATAAAAAACCATGAAAAATTATTTAACTGCATCAACAATTTATTTGGACGAAAAATATTTTTAAAATTTAAATAAATAATTACATTATTTTATTTATTTATTTATTTATTAATTTATTTGCTTACAAAGATATCTTATAGCAAGTATAACTAGAAAAGGACAAAACGAGAATAGATTCTGGAACTATCGAGTAAATTCTGTATTTACTCATTCGTGCAGTAGAAAGCTCTCAACTTTAAAGCTCTGGTGAGATATAAATAAAGGCTTTTTGAAAAAGATACATCTAAATCTGTAAAGAGATTGGTCAAAGTGTCGTCATCATTGTCAGCAACAGATAGAAAGGGAGAAATAATTACATTAAAAAAAACTGTAATAAAAAGAGCCTTTTTTAAGACAAAATTTCAATTATAAAAATGGTTATAAATTTTTTAAGTGGAAAAAACATAGAAAATTTGCGAAAAAATCGATTTTTAAAGTTGGGAGCGCTGAAAACTTATTAAAAAAAAATTTTTTTTTTCAAAAAACTCACAGTGAGTTTTAAATGATGAAATTAGTAATTTGAATTGATTTATAAATTTTATTGTATAGACGCCAACAATGGAAGGACTTTGCTCAGTATAAGGGGTCTTCAAACAGTTTACGAATTTGTTCCGATCATTTTGAAAGACGTTATATCAAGAAAAATACACCACCCAAACGACTATTAGTATCAAATGCTGTTCCAACTTTACTTCCGCCTGATAATATTTTGAAGATGCCCAAAAATATGCCAAAACCTCCTTTGACAAATTCAACTGCAAAAAATTTATTGGTAAACGTCAACAATGACGAAGTTATATTTGAACGTCCGGCTTTGAAAGGTATTGTTTTAAAAATAATTTAAAGAAAAACTGAGAATTGTTTCAGTAGTAAAAAATAGAACAATATCAGAAATATCAATATTTTTGTTACAGATGAATGTTCGCATAATGACAGAGGCATTACTTTTGAAGTACGCAAGGCTACTGATACGGAACCAGCTTTAATTAATATTGAAACAAATAGCTTTGTGAAAATTTCATTAAGAGGTAAGAAGTGCTTCTGCTTGCATTAGAAGCTGTGACTTAAATACAGACAAAAAAATCAGTTAATTGTATTTAATATTTAAATTCATGATTTTTTTGCGTTTGTGTCGAGTAAAAGAAACTGGTGAAGCCATAGAAAATGTAATAAATCCAGAAAATGTATAAAATATATATTTATATATTATTTATCTGTTATAGTCATGTAAGCAAAAAAATTTTTATACGTATTATTTAATCATTATACTGTTATATACGTTAAAGCATGTTTCGTATCTAGATTTCTTTTATTAATAGATTTTTTTCATATTACTAAGTGCAATGATAGAATTTTGGCTGTTGCAGCAGTGATTAGTAATCAAATGTTTTTTGAAATATTTTATTATTATAATTAATAGGTTGCTTTTAAGAAAACTTATATTAATATGAGAGAACTTTATATTTACACCAAGTTTTATAATATGTTTTTAAATAGAGTAAATTTTATCGTATATCAAATCATTTTGTAAAAGAAAGATTACTTTTTGCTAATTTTTACAGTATAATTATTGTTAAAATAATAGTTTTATCATTTTAGGATTATCATTAATCAATTTTATATTACTATGTACTTTCAGATATTTATTACTTTAATAAATTTTAATAATTCTTAATTATTTTGTCATAAATTATTTGTTTTCACATTTTATCTTAGGAAATTCAAATTGAACTGAACCGAATGTCCCGCGCGTTGGGGTCATCATCATCATCATCATCATCATCATCATCATCATCATCATCATCATCATCATCATCATCATCATCATCATCATCTTCTTTATCTTTTTCTTTCCTTTCATGATTATCCTCTTTGGAGTCGTGATCTGATTCCTCATCACCTAATGATTCATTTTCTTTTTCATTAGATTTATTTTGTTTCTCTAGATTGTTTTTGTGTCTTTGAAGAAAACGAATTCTTGGAGGGATAGCTAAGCCCAACGATCTAGATTAAAAAAAATGATAATCCATTAAAAATGGTTAAAAAAAAGAATTTGTTTGTTGTAAAAAAGTTTTTAATTACGCTGCATATGCATCTGTGTTCAAGGAGTGGACATCAAAAATTTCTTTATCCTTCATTAAAGCTACTGATTTAATATAAGAAAGAAAAGCTCTTTTGGCTGATTGTTTCAGTTCTACATCTCTGGCAAGGAATGCTTCAAGTTGTCGGTGTGGAGATATTATATATTTATCATCAATTCTAAAATCAGAAAAAAAAAATATTAAAAGTAACAATTTTGATTACAGCTTGAAAAAATTGTATAATTAAAATTAAATCGAACTTACTTGACTTTATTAATAGGAATTTTTCTGGCAACTAATTTGTCAATCATTTTTATTTCATTAGGTGTTAATACTAAAAGTGATTGACCATCATCTTCAAATCTTGCCGTTCTACCGGCTCTGTGGATATATTGATCAGTATCTTCTGGACAATCCATTTGTACTACCCAATTAACATCAGGAAAATCTAAAATTGATAGTCAATAATTATTAAAAAAGTAACAATTGGCGTAAGTAAGATAAGTGTATTGAATAATTATATCTACTTACCTAGTCCACGTGAAGCAATATCTGTACAAAAAAGTGCAGCTTTGTTTGTTGTACAAAACTTTTCATAAATTTTCATTCGTCTCAATTGATGCATCGTACCATAAAGTGCTGTGATAGGAATTCCGGGACGTAATTTACAGAAACATTCAAACATGTATTTTGTTTGTTTGCAAGTTGAGAAAAAGACAATTATTTTTTGCTGTGTATGCCTTTTTAGAAAAGACCAGAGCATCGCTACCTTGTTGTCCAAATTACAGACAGTGTAACTTTGTTTTAAATTATCTGGTGTAACGTACTTCATGTGCTCGTGAACAGAAATATATTGACGATCTTTTGATAAATTTAATCTAGCTAAATCTTTAACTGACTTGGTCTGAGTAGCGGAGAACAGCAACGTTTGTCTTTTTTTTGGTAAATGATCCATAATAGCATCAATATCATTTTGAAAACCTTGATCTAAACATCTATCAGCTTCATCAAGAACGAGAATTTTCAATGGATTGGTATCAAAACTTGCGTTTTCATCTAAATGTTGAAGAATTCTTCCTGGTGTTCCGATAACGATATTACAAGTTTCCATACGGTTCCTTTCAAATTTCCAATCTTTACCTCCTATAATTAAAGCAGCAGAAAAATCATGATGTCTTCCTATATTTCTTAAGGTCTCAAAAATTTGTAGAGCTAATTCCCGTGTGGGAGTTATTATCATTGCTCCTAGACGATCTTCCCTTGACCATAACTCACAATACAATAATTCTAGCACCTGAAAATGTATACGTTCATTAAATTATAGTACAATAATATTATAGTAACAATAAATAAATACCGGAATTAAAAAAGCAAGTGTTTTTCCACTGCCAGTTTTTGCTGCCCCTAAAATGTCGTACCCTTGAAGTGCTTTACCGATACATTGTCTCTGAATCTCTGATGGGACAAAATATTTAGATTCTTTCAATCCTTTCAATGTTTTGTCAGATATTGGGAAATCGGAAAATTTTTTTATTTTTGATTCATCGATCTAAAATTATATAAAAATGGGTTAATGTTTTGCAACAACATTAATACAGTTGTGATTGTAATAATAAAATAAAAAATTATGAATAAATTAATCGAACGTGTCGATTACGTGTAGTAAAATTTTTTTTCATTTTTTAAAATCACAACTCTGATTATCAAAAAAAAATAATAACCTCTTTATACTTAGACTTCAATATTTCAACTTTTTTGCTTTGAGGGATTGTTTTTTTCCTAGTAGCTGTTTTAAATTTTCTTCTTTGATTATTTGAATTTTCTCCTTTTTTTTTACTTTTATGTGATACGTTAGCCATTTTTTATTTAACAATATTCAAATGAACAAATATAAACATACCAGACGACAGGACACTTTGAGCACGTTTTTTTTTTTTTATATAAATGATTAACACATATGGCTGATTTACATTGGCTTTAAATCAGTTAGAAAGTTGTTATATTGACTGTAAGTAACTCAGTGGCATTCCAGGCGCATGATGTAGGGGTCATATCTGAGTGATCCGAACGGAAATGTAGCCAATGTAATTATTGTCAAGGAATTCAAAAAGTAACTTGCTCTTTAACAAGTTATATACATTTAATACTTCTTACATAACACTTAATGTATGTCAAATAATAGTAAATTCTATATGATAAAATACACACATTAAAACATTTAAATATCATATTTGTGAAAAAAATTAAACTGTAACCCATGAATTATTACAAAAGAACGACAATTGATCTGTCTTCTAAGTCTTATAAGTCATAAGTAAGAAATAAGTTGTCGGTATGGTAAATTTTTTTAGGTAACTGGCGGTGAAGGAAATTTTTAAATTATATAATCTAAATTCAAACACAACCTTTTTATTCTAAATAAGAATAATTCTTCTTGAAAATATTTATTGTTTTTATTTATTAAAATATATAAATATTGATTACTAAAATTAAACAAAAAATCGCTTATTTAATGGGAAATTATTTATTTTTCTTTATAAAGTAATTTTTTGTTAATTCTATAAAATATTAAAATCAAACTGTTCTTTAATTTGTTTCAGCTTAAACTATTATTTATTTATACACCTTCTTAACATTTATCAATAATTACGTTCTTGTCATATGAATATTATGAAACAAACAATTATTTTTTATATATATGTAATTAGAATAACGTAAGAAGAAAAAATTATTTATTTAAATATAATTCGTTTAAACTTAGATTAAAGTTTAAAAAATATAGGAATATCAGATATAATTAGTAAGTTCAAAAATATTAGAAAATTAAAAAAAAAAGATGTTTTTGTTCCTTTAATATTGATAAATTTTGAGAAAGTGTATAAATAAATAATAGTTTAAGTTGAAAAAAATAAAAAACAGTTTGATTTTAATATTTTATATAATTAACAAAAAATTACTTTATATAAAGAAAAATAAATAATTTCCCATTAAATAAGCGATTTTTTGTTTTATTTTAGTAATCAATATTTATATATTTTAATAAATAAAAACAATAAATATTTTCAAGAATAATTATTTTTATTTAGAATAAAAAGTTTGTGTTTGAATTTAGATTATATAATTTAAATTTCCTTCACCGCCAGTTACCTAAAAAAATTTACCTTACCGACAACTAATTTCTTACTTATGACTTAGAAGACTTAGAAGACAGATCAATTGTCGTTCTTTTGTAATGTTTCATAGGTTACAGTTTAATTTTTTTCATAAATATGATATTTAAATGTTTTAATGTGTGTATTTTATTATATAGAATTTACTATTATTTGACATATATTAAGTGTTATGTATGAAGTATTAAATGTATATAACTTGTTAGAGAGCAAGTTACTTTTTGAATTTCTTTACAATTATTACATTGGCTACATTTCCGTTCGGATCACTCAGATGACCCCCGCTAGAGGCGTTGAAACTCGTGTACGCTTTTTAACATTGCCACTAACTAATGAGAGCCTTCCCCTCTATCTTATACTCTTTGGTGATTATTATGCATGTACTTGCGTGACCGGCTGTTAACACAAACAACTGACCTGAACTAACCAATAACTATAACTGTTTGATAAATAATAACTTGGAACTTTAAATATTTTATTTCATTAATTGTATCTAAGTTGATTTTGTAAACATGGTATGTATTATTTTATGATACTTATTTTAACATTATACTAAAATCAGCAGACATTTGACCATGTTTTGATCTTGTTCAAAAAATAAAATTTTTACAGAATCATTTTTTTTTTAATGTTTAGAACCTTTACCCGTGGAATTAAAATAAAAAAACATTTTTAAAGAAATTCACAAAAATAAAAAATGCAATTTTTGTTGTTTTTTTTTTTTTTTATTTATCAATACTAATTTACTTTCTAAATATATGAAATAAAAATCTTAGGTGTCTGATAATTTTAATATCATGTTATTTTAATGAAATTGAAATTAGCCGATAATAAAAAAATTTTAGTTTTTTTTTTAAATAATTTTATTAGAAATAAAACTACATTTAAAAAAAATTGCACGTATAGTTTTTCAAATTACCTACATGTGGAATTTTTTTTCGTAATTTTTTTAAAATTAAAACAATTCTAAAAATTGTCAAGTGTCTGCTAATTTTATTTTCATGTTATTTTACCTCATAAAAAAATAATTTGTTTTTTAAATTTTATCTATTGTCTACAATTTACGTGAAATAAAATGAAATTTAATATTTTATATTTATTCTAGTATTCACTAGCTCATAAAACCGAAAATGCACATGAAGATAGTATTTGGAGTTGTGCTTGGGGTCGACCAAAAAAGAAAATTGATACTCAGCCAGACAACGAAGATTCACAGTAAGAAATTTTATTATCAAGTCACGAATATTATTCATTTACATTCAAGAGTTTGCACTCGAAAGTTTTAAAAATTTTTAATAGAATTTTTTTCAACAATTGAATTTTTATAAAAAATTTTCAACTATCAGTTAATTCCATAATTTTTTTTTGTTCTTTTATTAAAACTTGATTTTTAAAAATCAAAATAATAATTTTTCAAATTTTAAATAATTTACAGAATAGTTGAAAATATTTATTAATTTTTCTAAAAATTCAGCAGTCTATGTTTTCAGTTTTTTTAATTATATAACTAATGGAAAAATTTCACAGCTATCTTGAGTTATTAAATTATCAAATAAAAATTTTCTATGGTATTAAATTAGTCGACGTTCAACAATTTTTGTTTTTTTTTTTTTAACAATAAAATTGCAAGTAAAAAAAATTACAGGTATAATTTGTAAAATCTTCTATAATATGTAAAATTTTTTCTTTTTTTTTTTTTCTTAATAATTTTTTCAATAAAAAAAATTATAAAAATTTTTTTAATTACAAAAATTTTCAGATTTTGGCTAATTTAATTTCCATAAATTTTTATACCAAATTTTAATTGATTTTTTAGAGATTCAATTCGATCATCCTCGGACGACGCTGAATACATTGTCACTGGCTCAGTAGATGACTTGGTAAAAGTTTGGGAACAAAAGAACGGCAGTCTGAAATTAAAACACAAGTTATCAGGACATTCACTTGGAGTTGTATCTGTCGCAATAAGTTCCGATGGCACAAGTTAGTATTTTTTATATAATTTATTAATCCAAAAAAAAAAAAAACAAAACCATAGTAAATAAAAGTAATTAAAACAATATTTTATTATCAGAATGTGCATCAAGTTCCTTGGACTCGAGCTTGAGACTGTGGGATTTAGAGTCTGGTGAGAGAATCTCGAGTATTGAAGTCGGCCCGGTTGATATTTGGACTGTTGTATTTTCTCCTGATGACAAATTTATAGTTTCTGGAAGTCATGCAGGAAAAATTCACTTGTATGGAACTGAAAGTGGTAAACAAGAACAATCATTGGACACAAGAGGAGGAAAATTTACATTGAGTGTAGCTTATGTAAGTTTAATCTATATTATTACAAGAATAAGAAAAATTTTGTCTCCCGGATAGTCATATGATAAAATCAGTTTTTTTAGTAAAATTTAATGTCATTGTAAAGGTCTTTACTTGAGTTTGTGTCTTTTCAAGGTTTAATATCATTCTCACCGATAGTCAATTTATAATGATAAGTATTTAGGCTGCATTCGAAAATACTCTATCTCTAGATACATAATAGAGAAATTACCTTGTATCTTGTGAACTATTGACATTTTTAAAGATATAAGCTCATCGAGACCTTTCATTTGAATACCCACATCAATTTTTCATATATTTATATATATTAGATATATGTATATATGAAAAATATATAAAAAATGCAAGTGGGTACTCAAATAAAAACTCTTTATGAGTGTAACATCAGGATGAGCTTACATCTTTAAACACGTCAATAGTTAAGAAAGTACAGTGCAGTTTAACGAATATCTTGTGAATTATTGACATTTTTAAAGATATAAGCTCATTCCGATGTTACACTTATTAAGACCTTTCATTTGAGTACCCACATCAATTTTTTCATATATTTATATATATTATATATATGTATATATGAAAAATATATCAAAATGCATGTGGGTACTCAAATGAAAGCTCTTGATGAGTGTAACATCGGGATGAGCTTATATCTTTAAAAATATCAATAATTAAGGAATGACCTTGTATCTTGTCAACTATTGACATTTTTAAAGATATAAGCTCATTCCGATGTTACACTTATTAAGACCTTTCATTTGAGTACCCACATCAATTTTTTCATATATTTATATATATTATATATATGTATATATGAAAAATATATCAAAATGCATGTGGGTACTCAAATGAAAGCTCTTGATGAGTGTAACATCGGGATGAGCTTATATCTTTAACAACGTCAATAGTTAAGAAAGTACAGTGCAATTTAACAAAAGTCATTATTTAATAAAGCACAATTTTATTTATTTATAGTTTACAAGTCACGGCAGTCACATAGTGACTGCAAGGTTGCTAATAATTAATTATCATTAATTTAAAAAAATTTTAAATACTTGTTCTGCTAAAAAATAAAATTTATTATATTTTATTTTTTTAATCTCGACGAAATTATAATTTATTAATTTAGTCAATTAATTTTACTGAATTAGTTTTTAATAATAGAAATGTATTTTTAGAGTCCTGATGGAAAGTATATTGCTAGCGGTGCTATTGATGGAATAATCAATATATTCGATGTAGCATATGGAAAAGTCTTGAGAACATTGGAAGGTAAAATAAAAAAAATATTTTTTATTTTTAGTTATTTAATTTTCCGGATAAATATTTTATTTGTTTAATATTTAGGTCATGCTATGCCTATTCGATCACTCTGCTTCTCCCCGGACTCACAATTACTTTTAACAGCTTCTGACGACGGACATATGAAGCTTTATGATGTGTAAGTTTTATTAATACAATTTTTATTATTATATTTCTAATAATATTAATTAACAAATTTTTTCTTACCAAACAGAAAAGACGCAAATGTTGCTGGAACATTGTCAGGTCATGCATCGTGGGTTCTTGGAGTAGCTTTTGGTCCAGACGGTCAAAAATTTGCTTCAAGCAGTTCTGATCATACTGTTAAAATTTGGGAATTAGCACAAAGACAGTGCTTACACACTTTCAATGATCACAATGATCAAGTAAGTCTTTTTTATTTCTTCTTATTTAAAATAGTCAAAAAATTTTATAAATTTACCCTTCAAATTTTTTTTTCAAAAAATAATTCTAATTTTTTTTTTTTATTTTCAGGTTTGGGCAGTAAAATATCACCCTGAAAAAAATAATTTACTCGTTTCAGTTTCAGAAGACAAATCCATTAATTTGTATGAATGTCCACAGTGATGGAAAAATATTATTATAATTATTATTATTATAATACCTAAAATGTAAAATACATTAAAAACTTATTCTTACATACTACTTAATGTGATGTTAATTTTTTATGAAACAGAAAATTAAAAATATTAAAAAAAAATTTTTTTTCAATGTTTAAAATTCCCAATTTTTATAATTTAAAAATTTTTATATTTTGAAGTAAATAATCTAATGTACGAAAAAATTTTTTGAAAATTTGCTCTAACAATTATAAAAAATTTTTTTGAAATTTTTAATTTTTATTTTTGGTTTTTTTTAATTAAATTATTTTTCATAAAATTAAAAAAAGAAATTATTGAAAAAAACTTTCAGATATTAGCTAGCATAAATCAAATTACAATGAGTATCATTCAGATTATGAGTATAATCCGGATATCACGCAGTATAATCTGGATTTTTTGAGCTACTATCTGAAATTTTTTTTTTCACTACAGATATCACTGAATATAATCTGAGATGATATCTAGTGTCATCTTGTTCTTTCCGTGTGAATAAGTAAAGTAAAAAATTTTTTTTGATTAAAAATAATTCGAGCTTAAATTTTATATAATTAAATTACTTGAAAAAAAAAAAAAATAATTAAAATAAACTTGTCTATAAAATTTATGAGCAAAAGTTTTATTATTTCAAAAATCACCATCATACATCTAAAAAAGGTAATATCATTTACATGACTAAATTAAAAAAATTATACATTAAAACAAATCAAGGAAGATGACCACGAGCAAAATAATTGCTGATTAAAAAAAGTAAGCGTATGTATAAACAATAGTAACAAAAATAAATACTTTATAAACATCGGTAAAAAATGAATTTTGAAGAATCAAAGTTATTAAATTGGGTTTATTTGTTGATATACCTGAGTTACATAAATATTAAATTTAGTATTAGTATAAATAAATTAAGAAGTTATAATTTAAATTTTCTTCTTTTAATTTCTGTAATTTTAAATACCAGCAGAGTCAAAATAAACAACTTTAATTAAATTTAATAATAGACTAGAAATAATTAATTTCTACAATTTCTTCTTTCATCCTATTTCTTCAATTAAGCAATATTGAAAATGTACCTAACATTCCGCTATAATGGTTTACGTATTATTTTATACTGGTTACACTATTTCCGTAAAATCTCTTGTCAGTCTTAAAAAAGTAATAGAAATAAATGAAAAATGGGCAAAAATTTTTTTTTCTTCGCAAATAAATATTTATATCATTATTAATATGCGCCAAAATGCATATTAAACATCCATTACATATAAAAAGAATTTTTTCAAATTTTCGGTATCCAAGATAATTATTTACAATGAAAAATAAATAATAATATCAATATTTCTTCTTAAAAATAATTAAAAATAAAAATTATTTCAAAAAGCAGCATATAATAATAATTATATACATATAAAGTAGCAATTAATTAAAAAAAAAATGAAAAACCAATTTCTTCTTTTAAAAAATAATAATTTTTTTTTTAAACTATAAATTATCTTAGGCAAAAAATATAAACGACTAGTCAAATAAAAATAATTCTTTACATCTTCATTCACGTTGTAGTTTTTTGTTCTTGAATTTTATTATTCGAACCTTGAGTTGACTCAACCGGTGAAACAACTGAAGAAGGTAACGTATGAATAGTCTTCTCAAGATAAACCTCCGGAATTTGAGTTTCTGTTGAATCAACAGTTATAAAAGAGCCAAGTCTCGACACTCTTTTAGCTGGATCAGTATTTGACGAATTATCTTTTTTTCTAAGAACAACTGGAGTTATTTTTTCATTGATTTTAGTATCCGTAAATTTAAGGGGAATTTTACTAGATACTTCTGAAATAGTATTAACACCAGTTAAATCCAATGAATTTCTATAAATTGGCTCTTGTGTTTCACTAGCATGTATCGAAGGTTTTCTTATTTTACTTTTAAAATTATCTGGCTTATCTTTTGGCATTCCTTCAAAAGTAGAACTTCTAAACAATCTTTTAGTAGATAAATTATTTATTATTTTTTCAGTATCAGTAGAATTAGACGCTGCTGTTATCCATTGACGTGAGTCAGGTTTTTGTTGTTTATTTTGAGACTTTTCAACTTTCTTCCATAAATTAGCAATCTTACTAGCTGTTTCTTTAACCAATTTTTTATCCGAAATTTCAGGTGAATTTTGAGAAGCTATATTAGCATTATAACTCACCCTTTGCTCACTATTAACAGGCTTCTTAATATTTAGTACATTAGAATAAGTACCCTCAATTGGATTTTTAAATTCCGTCCCTGAAAATCGCTTAATTGGAATTTTAGGAGATCCAATTTTCTCCGTAACACCTTGAGTTACTTTGTACTGACTATTCTTCCCAACAGCTTTAGTCTTAATATTAGAAGACGATAAATTTCTCATAGGCTTCGCAATTTTAGACTTAGAGGGCGAAGCGATCGCAACAGTCGGTGCATTTTCCATTTCAGGTTCATCTTTAGTAAACGTTCCTTGTCTCTCCAGAGTTTTCGGCATTTCTTCTTGATCTTTCTTACCGACTGTAGATTCTGACGGCGTGCTATGACGCTTATAACTCCCACTACTTTTTCTCTGAGGAATAGAGCTTTTTTTATTCAACCCAATTGTTTTAGTTACTTTCTGCAAAGCGCCCAATTTCAATTGATTGTTATCTGACGAGGATGTATTCTTCCGAAGAGTTGTAGCTCTAGTGGCTCTAACTATCGGAGAAGTATTACTACGAGCTATTCCACTGATATTGATCTGTTTTACCGGCGAAGATTGCGGAGTAGTCTTCCTTGTATTAGGACTTGAATACAAAGCCTTTCTTCTTCCTCTAATACCTTTTGGACTTACAGGTTCTGATTTTTCTTCTGAATTTCCACTAGTATCTCTCGGCTTAACAATTCTTGGCTTTTTTAATATTTCTTCTGTAGGAGAAAGTTCATTTTTATTATGATCAAATTCATTTATTTCTAAATCATTCACATTATATTCATTCAAATCATCATCTTCATCTTGGTTATTTTGTCCGCCATTTAAATTACTCACAATATTTCTTCCTTTAATATCAAAATTTTCAATAGCTTCAATAGCTTCAGCAGCATAATTATCAATTTTATTTGGTTTATTAAATAACTGAGGAATATTTGAATTTTTTTCCCCTTGGCACTCTTTATTTCCTTTATTTTTTTTATAAGTTCTAGAACCGTCAATATTCTTAAACATGGGAATCCCCGAAGAACAAGAAGCGGGAATTTCTGTCGGTAAATTACCGACAACTTGAGTTTGAAATCTCCCTGGATCATCTTGTCTACGTTGTCTAGGAGTAAGTTTAAACTTACCAAGATCTTTTTTAACAGACTCAGGAGCAATAGTATAAGTTTTATATCTTTCTTTAGCTAATTGTCTCTTTTGCTTTGGCGTTAATATATTTTTAACTTGTCTTTTAGGTGTTGATTCAGTGCTACTGCAACTGTACTCAGTAGAAATAGGAGTAGCAGCTTCATCAGTGTCATTACCATCCTCTAATTTATTATTCAACTGCTCCGGTTCAAATTCACCCGGAATAATTTGATATTCATTGCAAAGAGTATCACTGCACATAGTGTCAGTATTAGCATCCAGAGTCGTGTCATCAATATCAGTAATTTCATTAAACAAAGAAGGAGGATTTATATTATCAAGAAACTCACTGAGACTATTAGTTGCATTATTTCCGGAGTATTTTTTTTCTAAAATAAATTTATTTATAAGACTAGAGTCTTGAGCCTTAACATCAACCGCCTCGGACATAATACTAGCTACGCTTATAATACTATTGTCCATCTCTCCGCTGTCTAGCAGCTCGTCCATTATTGACGGAGGCTTAATATTTTCCAACTGTGAAACATTTTTAATGCTACAATTATTCAAAAGACTCTCCAAACTTCCAGTATGATTATATTCTTGGCCTAGAGCGCGTTTAGCAACGACTCCAATAGGAAGAGATTTTTTTCTATCAGGAACTCGTGAATTGAACAATGTTGGAGGAAGCGACGTTGAATTACAATTAAGACTGTCAGTCGCTAAATAACTCGAAGTTAAAGAAACAAAACTGTCCATTACAGATGGAGGTTTTACATCATCAATATCATAAGTCAGTTCATCATTAAATTGATTACTCACCACTTCAGCTAGTTTAAAAGCTTCCAATTCAATTATCCTGGATGTCGTCATACTTTGTTCAGTTTCAGTATTTTCAGCGAGTGTTTCAAGCTGGGTTGGACAATCTTCTTGGACACAATCACTGTCATAAGATCCAACTAATGGAATACTTATACTTATAGTAGGAAATGATAATTCATTGGGTGACTCTTCATTCCAAGTGTCACTTTGATTGCTTTGTTTCATCACAATTGAATCTTTTTCTCTTATAGCTTCTGTTTGCTGAACAAGAGTCGCCGTTAAACGATCTAAAGAAGCTATCATTGCATCTGGATCACGTTGTCTTCTATATTCTTCATCTTGATCTTTAAATAAATGCTGATTATTTATTTCTTCTTTGGAGTATTTTACAGTTAAAACTGTTTTGTAAGACGTAGATGAAATTTCATTTGCTGATTCATCTTTAATCATTTTCATTTCTTCTTTTTTCTTCTTAGAATCATTAAGAAGAATATCCGATTTAGAACTATTAAAAGAGTGATAAAAATTTTCTTCCAATGAACACGTGTTTGATTCTTTGCAAACATCATCAGTATTAGAAAAATTTATTTTAATAAAATTATCTGATTTATCATCAGAACTTTCAACTTGATCCAAAGCAGAAGTTGTCTGATAGCGAATTAAATTATTATCCCGCTGTAAAGTCTTCTCTAAGCTATTTCTTCTTATTGATTGTCCATGTCTGTTATTTTGCATACCAATATGAATACACGCTGCCAATAAATCATCATCATCATCATCATCATCTCCATCACTTGCAATAGAACCAGTTAAGCTTTCTGATTCAACATTTTTAATTACTTTTAATTCACGTTCTTTTAATTGCCTATCATTAATTATCTTCGGTTCATTGTCAATTATATTGCAATTTTTAGTAATATTTACCTGCTCGGTACAATTAACCTTTTCTATATAAGGATAAATTCTTTGTTTTGTTTTGTATTTAACTTCACCCAATTTATTAAAATTATCACTGGAAGAAATACCAGCAAAAATACTTGCTTCGGGCTTCTTCAAAGAACTCCGAAATAAATATTCATTTTTATTTTTACTCACCGGAAGTCTATCGGACAATTTCATTTTATCACACTGCAAATCCGACTGTGATGAATTCAACGAAGTACCACGAGGAGTTCCTTCAGTGTAATAAGTCTTTACAGTATCATCTTGTTCGCTTCCAGCAAAATATTCAGTGGTCAATTTTTCATCATCTGAATTACGCTCAGCGTATCTTAAGCTATAATTTGTCGGCTCGTCTAAATCAGTCTCTGCATAATCACCAAAAAGATTTTTATCATTAGAAACTGGTGATAAAAGCGGCTTAACAAATCCAGCTTCATTAAATTTAGAAGTATCTGACGGAGAAATAGAAGATTTAATAGAATCTGTTGGAGATAATTTATTTTCAATATTTGATCTTAACAAGGAAGATTCTTGACTAGCAGCAGTAGCCCAAGATATAGTAGAGGTAATAGCATTTAAATTATCTTCAGTAAATTTTTCACCAAATGAATTTTTAAACCTCAAACTTTTTTTTTCCAACAGAGTTTTATTAAGTTGATAAACATCTTGATTGTGAGGATTTATTGTAGAATGTAAAGAAGATGATTGATTTTTTTTATTAAAATCCGGTAAATCGATATGCCTGTGAGCTTTTTCAAAAACAGTATCAGAATGTGTGCTAGTAATTGACCTAACAGATTCTTTACTTTCACTTCTGGGTACTTGATTACCAACAGAAACTTCAGCATGATTTTTATGATAAGTCCTGGTCAAACAAGTAACATCAAAATTACTTTCAACTTTAAAAGAAAATTTTTCATCTTTATTAGTAGGAGAGCTGCTGGGTTCAATATTGTCACAAGTCTCAGAAAGATTCTGATCAATCTCTTGCTCTAGAGCTCGTTGTCTTCTCGCGACTAACGAAGGGAGAGACGGCAAGCCCAGACCACGAGCCGTAGAATCAAGATGCACTAGATTGCTGCCACAAGGTCTGGCACTGAGAAGATTTTTCAGCGCAGCAGAAGATCCCATGGAGATCATTTTGTGCTTTGAGTGTACGAGACTTCTCAACATTGGCACAGCTCCAAGGTCCCAGAGGAGTCTTTGATCATAGGGACACCTTGCTGAGAGGTTCCAGAGTGCTCCACAGGCATTGCTGACCACAGTCAAGCTCGGTGATCGTAATTGCCTTAGCAGAACTTGCAAGCAACCGCGTTCTCTTATAATCGCCCGGTAGTCGTCTCTAACAGCAATGTGGCTTGATACGTTCCTTAAAATTCCTCCAGCGTTTTCAACAATCGAAAGAGTCTTGGAGGGTGCTTTGTAGCTGAGCATGTCCACAAGGAATGCCAGAGCACCTTCCACAGCGCAAATATCAACCTTGTTGGTGCTGCAGTGGGCAGACAAGTTCCAGAGAGCTGAAAGGATTGATTTTAGGGTTGATTCTTTTCTTCCTTCCATTGAAGCTTTCATCAGTCCGGTTACAGCGCCAACTTCTCTGAGGATTTGCTTGCTGTTGCTGTCAGCTCTCCATGATAAATTCCTCAAGACACTGGCTGTAACTTGTCTCAAGTCGTCGCTTAAGCTGCAGAGCTGGGACACCAATGCTTTCATGAATTCTTTGAACGAGCACAAGAGCGCTTTGTTGTTCCCGTCGCCGAAAGTTAAATTAGTCAGAGCCATTCCGGCGTATCTGCGGAGAGTTATGCAGCTTTGGTCATCCGAATCAGTCCCATGGGCAGCGTGGTCCATCTCGATGAGCTCTGCGACGGCATGCAAGCCACCGAGTTGGCACATTGCGTGGCGGTGAGCTTCATCGAAGGAAAGCTTCATCAACGCTGCTATCGTGGGACCTGGGTGTCTTTCTAAATCGTCTGGAGGTCGCTCGGTTTCGAGACAAGCTCTCAGCATTTGACAGTAGTCGCGAACTTGCTCGAGGAGTCGCAAGACTCGGATTTCACGTCTGCCTATTTTTTCATCGCTTCTAGCAAGGACCACGTTGTGTAAGGCTCGAGAAGCTCGCTCACGGATTTCTTGATCCTGGCCGGGAGTGTGGATCAGTTGGATTAATAAGGGCAAGCACCCGGATTGACGCATCACGAGGCAGCTGTCGATTGAATTGCTCATCGCCAGAAGGGTCGAACTCATGTCATCACGGCCTTCTGTGCTGCCCAGCATTCCTAGAAGGCTGTAGACTACGTCGACTTTGGCGCCGAGGCGTTTGTGGCCTTGGAGGTCTTTTGAGCTGCTACTTCGAAGCGAGTTTATTGTGCTTGACATTTCCTGGAGATTAATTGATAAGTTAATATTGGATTTTAGTAATCAATAATGGATGGCGCAAAAGAACTGGTTTTTGTTTTAGATTAAAATGAAAATATGCTAGTTCACTATAATTAAATTTAATAAATTGAAATCAGGATATTGTCGACCAAATAATGTTATGTTTTTTAGGTAAATATTTACAAGTGGGGTCAACCATTTTAATTTTCATTTTTTTAACGAAATTTCTATTTGATTTAATTGATACATTTTTTTTTTTTAAATACATAAAAAAATGAACAATTTAAAAGAAAAAGTCAATTACCGCAACTTTAACAAATTCTCAAAAAAATTTATAAATATTTTAGAAAATTGTGATATTCAACTTGAATTTTTTTTTTTTTTTTTTTTTTAAGATTATTTGTTTTTTTATGTAATTTTCAAAAAAAAAATATATCAAAAATATCAAAAATAGATAAAATAAAAGTTTTATCCAAAAACATGAGCCAAAATTTTTTCCAACTTTTGAATGCAAAAAAGCTATCAAAATTTTTATTTTTTTCTTTCACGACATTTTTTATCATAAATGAGCCATAAAAATAAGCAAAATAAAAAAAAAAAATTTTTAATTTTAATTTTTCACCTAGTTATGGTCCCACTTGTAAATAATTACCAAAAATTTTCGAGATTGCTCAAGATTTACCAAAAATTATAAAATTGCTTAGAAAAATTTTTGTTTGTTATTCCATTAATTTTTTTTTTAATAATTACTTTTTGCTGAAAAACTTTTTAAGTAAGTACTCTTAAAATATTTTATTGAGCTAATATTTCAAGAAGATTTATAAATTATAATAAATTAAAATGATACTGAAATAAACAAGAATCTCGTAATTTTTTTGCTAACTTAAGTTTTATAAAAAAAAAATTCGGATGCTGAAAAAAAATAGTTAAATTTTTTTATAAAATTAAGAAAAAAATATTGAGTTTTTTTGCGTCACTTTCTCTGATTAAATTGAAAGATTGATTCTTATTTAAAAAAAAAAAAAAAAAAAAAAAGACTTAAAATGATTACTTCAATGCAAAATGTATACTTATATAATATCCAAATCATTTTAAATACTATCTTTAAATGCGTTAAGCATTCAAGAAGTCATTTTTAATCCCTTTGTTTTTTTCAGAATAATAAATAATTATAATTATGATTAATTTTTAATGATTACATTGTGACTTCTGGGTATACTATGTTGGTCAGAAAATCCTATTCGCTGATGTATCCATGTATTTCGTTTGATAGGCCATTCACATGGCGGTGATAATCCATAACCATCAGCGGATATATTAGCTTCAGTATCTTCCTCAATGCTTCTGTCTTCGTCGTAACATTTATTTGTTCTAGCGTAAAGCTGAAATTAAATTAATATATATGTAATTTTTTATGTTCTATGTATTCAATTGTTTATTATTTTTAAATTTTATTTTAACTAATAATTAATATTTTTTAAAAATTAAATTGATGAAATTTTTTTTTTAATTCATTTATTGAAATTAAAAGACATTTGACAATTTTAAAAATTTTTATAACAAAATTATGATAAAAAAATTTTAATAAAAAAATTCTACATTCAGAAATAAAAAAAAAAAAAATTACAAGTGTAAATTTTTCTTTATAAATAATAATTGTTATTAAAAATCAATAAAATTGTCAGATTTCTGTTAATTTCAGTAACATAAAAAAATCATGACATTAAAGTTAGCAGTCGCTTCACAATTTTTTAATTTTTTTTAATAAATATAATTTGCTCCGAAAAATTATTTCTAAAAAATTGGATTTTTTATTTTTTTAATTTTCTAAATGTCAATTTTTTTTTCTCATTTTCCGTGACATAATTTATTTGTTAAAACAATTCTTAAAATTATAAAATACCTGCTAAATTAATTTTTATAAAAAAATTATCAAATATTTACTAACTTCAGATAAAAATTAATTAACTAGATATTTAAAAATTGTTATATAAAACAATTCTTAAAATTATCTGCTAAAATGAAAATTAAGTTAGCCAACATCTAAAAACTTTCAGAAGTTTTTTTTATTGAAAAATTATTACAAAAAAAAGAAAATAAAAAATTTCACTTCTAAAAAACTTTAAAAACTATCAGTGTAATTTTTTAAAAATATTTTTTAGTTTTTATTTAATAAATAAAAAATAATTCAAAAATTTTAAATGTCGGCTAACTTTAGTATTATTCTGCTAAATTAATTTTCATAAAAAAATTATCAGATATTTACCAACTTCAGATGAAAATTAATTAACTAGATAATTAAAAATTTCAAGAAATTTTATGACATTAAATTCAACAGTCACTTGATTATTTTTTAGTTTTTTTTTTAACAAATAAATTTATTTCAAAAAATTATTTTAAAAAAATTGCATTTTTTATTTTTTAAAATTTCCACGTCAATTTTTTTTTCTTGCTGAAGTTTATTAGTTACAAAAATTCTAAAAATTATCAAATATCTGCTATATTAATTTTCATAGAAATTTTTTATTGTAAAAAAAATTACAAGAAAAAATTTGACATTTAGAAAATTAAAAAAATTTTAAGTGCAATTTTTGAGAAATATTTTTTTACTTACAATTTTTATTGATTAAAAAAAATTAAAAATTATAAAAAGTTTGCTAACTTTAGTTTTACTAAATTATATAAAAAAAAATTGCCATGTAAAAATTTTTGAAAAATAAAAAATGCAATTTTATCAAAAAAAATTTTCTAGAAAAAATTTATTTATTAAATAAAATAAAAAAAATGACTGCTAATTTTAATGTAATTAATTTCAGTATTACTTATATGTTTTTTCTTAAATCTTTACATAAATATATATATATATATATTAAATTTGCTAGGTATAGAGCGCAAAGAAAGTTGTTAGCCAAGAAAATCAATATCTGTGCGAGATTGGTGTGGCAGTAATACGACTAGTTTCTGAGTGCTATGCGCAAAAACGCAAAATTATTTTTTTTTGGACATTTACTCATTTTTCATTAAAATTTCACTAAAAATAAGTAAATTATAATAAAAAAAAAAAAAAATTACTGTATGTACCTCATGAATTAACTTTAATTACATGAGTACGTTTTTGTAATTAAAAAGAATGACTTACCTCAGAACTTTGTACACCGCATTTCTGTTGATTTAATTTTTTTATTGACTCCATGACATTGTTAAATAGTCTTAGCACAAACTTGATATCTTTTTCACTGCATAATGTCAAAAATATTTGATAAGAAATCAAATGAATGACATACGGTTGAGAAAAAGTATGACAAAATACAACCAACACCAAATACGACTTGACGTGATTCACCAGCACTGGGTCTTGTCTGGTTAGTTTTAGTTTGGTTGATTTTATGAAAATAAAGATTCAAGAAGGGGAGCTCCTCTTCAGTCAGGGGCGGATCTCCTGCTGTGCGCTATGAAGAGACTTTTACTTAAAATCTCGTATCGCCTTGCTCAGTTTGTATGGGACTGTTATCAATGTATTTTCAAGTCCGTCGTACTGTCGTACCCACCTTTTCACGCCGACGCATAGCGCGTAGTTCACTCTTCACCCAATTGCTTTATACTGCTCTATGCTTACACATTACCTTGTCTGGATATAAAAATTTATATTTTATTTTTTAGCTATAAAAAATATGACACTGAAGTTTGACAGGTATTAAAAAATTGTTTATAATTTTATAGCAATTAAATTTTGTTATTAAAAAAAAAATTGAAAATTAAATTAGCCGACATCTGAAAATTTTTGTAATTTATTTTTATTAAAAGATAAATTTTTAAAATTATTCGTGCAATTTTTTAAAAATATTTTTTTAGTTATAATTTAATCAAATTTTTTAAATTCCATATGTGGAAATTAAAAAAAAATTATTAGTGAAAATTTTGAGAAGCATTTTTTTTATTGTAATTAATTTGTTATAAAAATTTTTAAAAATTGGCAGCTGTCATCTAAGTTCAGTATCATATAAGAAATAATTATTTCATATTTTTTTTTTTAATATTTGATTTCTTTTGTCTTAATTTTTTTAAGAATGTAATTATCTATATTATTAAGAAGATAAGAAAAATTTTATGTCCATATGAACCAAAAGGTAAATTGGTCTGTTGAATTCGAAAATAATCCTCGAATTTCTGGCTCTGACTCCGAATTCAACTCAACTAAAACAAACTCAAAATTAAATTAGTCACATGATAAAATTAAATTTGTTTTTTTAGTCAAATTTAGTGTCATTGCAAATGTCTTGACTTAAATTTGTGTCTTCTCAAAGTTTCATCATTCTTACCAATAGTCAATTTATGATGATAAGTATTAGGGCTGCATTCGAAAATGCTCCATCTCTAGATACATAATTAAGAAATTACCTTGTATCTTGTGAACTATTGACATTTTTTAAGATATAAGCTCATCCTGACATTACATTCATCGAGACCTTTCATTTGAGTACCCACATCAATTTTTTCATATATCTATATATATTACATATATGTATATATGAAAAATATATCAAAATGCATGTGGGTACTCAAATGAAAGGTCTCGATGAGTGTAATGTCAGAATGAGCTTATATCTTTAAAAATATCAATAATTAAGAAATGACCTAGTATCTTGTCAACTATTGACATTTTTAAAGATATAAGCTCACCTCGACATTACACTCATCGAGACCTTTCGTTTGAGTACCCACATCAATTTTTCATATATTTTTATATATTATAATATGTATGTATATGTATATATGAAAAATATATCAAAATGCATGTGGGTACTCAAATGAAAGCTCTTGATGAGTGTAACATCAGAAAGAGCTTATATCTTTAAAAACGTTAATAGTTAAGAAGGTACAGTGCTATTTAACAAGTTATTATTGAATAATAAAGCAAAATTTTATTAATTTATAGTTCACAAGTCACGGCAGTCACATAGTGACTGCAAGGTTGCTAATAACAATTATTAAGATAACAAGATAACTTTCAATTTCAGTATCATGAGATAAATCGTTACAAAATTTTTATTTACTGAATTTTTTCTATGAAAATTTTTTTTTTTTTAATTTTTGTTTTATCCTAAAATTAATTCAATAAATTTATTTTGACTATTATTATCCAAAATTGTCAAACAAAAAATAACTTTTAAACAAATGTAGAGACAGATATTTTGCTAGTTTAAACGTCAAATTATTTTTTACAAAATAAATTTTTTTTATTCCTTAATTTTAATACTGTTGTCTGTATAAATTCCCTGAGCTTTATCAATTTTTTATTTTTAAATACAAAAAAAACCTTTAAAATTACAACATTCAAAAATACTCTTGAAAATAATCTACAATTAATATTAATTAAATAATTTTTTTCATTAATGTTTAGAAAAGACAATATAAAATAACATCTACAGAAGCTAATTAATCACCAATGCGCATTATGCTTCTGAGAAACTAGCTCAATAAATTGTGAGTGACTAGCATATAAATCTAAATCTTTGTCCATATCGATCCACCTAACATTAGCAGCATCATCACCTGCTTCAAACGGAATATTACCAACAATACTACTGTCTTCATCATGAAAATTAGAAGCACTAGTTTCTAACCAAGAGTTATCAGTGTTACGTGGATCATCAACATATCCTTCGTAAATTTTAAACCCACTGCTAAACAAATTATCAATTGAACTTTGGAATGTTTTAATTTCTTCCGAACTTTTTTCCAACGCATTCACGGCTTCTTCCATGAATTCTCTTTTCAAGGTAGCCGAGACAAGTTCATTTGCATCTACCATGCCTCCAGGTATGGCCCATTGTCCTGAATCTCTTCTTTCGATCCCGACAAATTGCAAAATAGACTTTTTGCTTAGTTCATGTTTTATGATATTTCCTAAGTTATCTCGCTTCCAGCGGGTAATTATTGGATCCGCAGCATGATTAGGTCCCCAGTGCCATAATAAGCCTCTACCTTTGATGCCAGTACGCCCGATTGGGTTCAGTGGATAGCCATTATCAACTGTATATGGTTTCATAAAACTTTTCCTGTTAATGTGTCCTGTAATGAAAGCATAATTATTATTTTATTTATATTTAAAATAAGAAAATTTTATAAAATTATTTTTTTTATTAATTACTAACAACCTTGCAGTCACTATGTGACTGCCGTGACTTGTGAACTATAAATAAATAAAATTTTG